GTCTCATCTCGTCTTGCACGGTCCCGCCGGCCAAACCTCGACGCGTTATCACGGGCCCTTCAGCCTCACTGCAGAATGACGCGTACGCCGAGAGAGTGCAAACCCATGGTATCACAATAGCATGCCCCTTTTCATGAACCCGTGCAATCATGCCAATGCCTGGAATCACTGTATCCCAGGGCCCAAGAGTGAAATGCCAGCCAGATATTATCCTTCGGTGTGAAAGCGGTGACCATACTGCTGCTCAGCCCATGCTGGGTTCCAGCCCTCGGAGCCGAAATAATCCAGGTTTGTCTGCTGCACCCCCTGCGCTTGTGCGTGTGCTTGTGCCGATCCTATACCGCCTTGTCCGCCACCCATGCTCTTCCAGTATGCACCTGCATTTGCAGTCCCATTTAAGACGCTCACGGTCCCCGGCTCCGTTGATCGGGGAATCCCACCCACATGGCTCATGTCGTGCCCGATTCCGTTCTGCATCAGAAAATCGGTAAAGGGAGCGTGGAAATCTCGGTTGCCCTGTGCTGTAAACTGTTGTGCCAGGTTGGGATTGTCACCCAGGGCCTGCTGGAAAGCAAAGTCATAACCCCCAAAATGCTGGGGTATTTGGTGCGTGCCACTGCTCGGTGTCCCAAACAGATTCGACTCATTTGGCGTCATGCTCGCCTCTGAGAACGGGTAATGTCCGTCAGCTGATTCCAGAGCACTCATTGGTTGGCTGGGGTAAGCGAAAGGATTGTCACTGGGGAACATGACACTCTTCAGATCCGGGATCTGAGTGTTTCCCAGCTGAGGTGTAAACTGATAATTTGGCGACATGGGAGACGACGCAGATGGGCTGTTAAATCCCATCAATTGCGGATTCTGCATCTGTTCTTGGAAAGAGGACAGCACCGGATCCGGGAGAGAATTTCTTTTGGCCAGTTTGGCAAGGTAGTCTGATGGAAGCGTCCTGGCTCTGCTGGGCGTCGCTGATTGCTCCCTGGAGCTTAGCGGAGCACCGAGGTCTGGCAATGTCTGCCTTTCTGGCAGTAGTCCTGCTTCAGATCCAGGCGAAGGCCGTTTTCGAGCGCTCGCTGGAGCCAAATTCAGTGAGCTTCGTCGTTCTTTCAGCTTTTCCGGTAGTACATCAAAAAGTCCCTGGCACAGAACTGTCAGCATTTGATATCCATGACAGCTATCATTGGGTGTAGCTTACCGTCAGGCTGACTGTGCACCTGTCGGCAGCCATACTTCGCTTCGCTAGGCTTGCCAGGGTGTCTCTCCCTTCCAATGCATCTTTCAGGATCTCATTGCTGGTGGAATTGTTCGGATTTTCGATGACGAAGAATACGAGAGACAGGATGGCGAAATATGTCGTGTACATAAAGAACCAGTAGGACCCTACCAGCAGGCCCCTCCTCTTCATCTCACTCATTATGTGGACGATGTTCCTGGCAACACTGATACACGCCGCAGCGCACGCAAAGCTTCGTTTGTCCACGTTTCTCGCTTGACATGCTTGAGATACATAATGAACAAACGGGCGGTAGACCATCATCTGAACGTGGGCATACCCCATACGTAAATGTTGTTGGACCCTAGACCATGTCAGCCCACCTGGTGCGCCACTCGGTCCGTAACATACCTTTCAAGCTCTCGTCCGCAACTGTCCGACGGTCTCAATTCCATGGGCAATTCATCCATCCAGTTCTGCAGATCCTTTTCAAGCTCGCGGATCTTTTTGTGACTGATGCTATATACCGGCTCGGCTTTCGAGCTATCTAGGGACTTTAGAGGGTAGATGTAGCGAACGACTTTCCTCATAATCATGGTCAACCTGGTGTGGGCGTTGGCTGCTCGCATCAGCGGGAAAGTGCCCGCAGGCATTGGCAGAATAGCTTGGTCGGTGATGTAGTCATCGTCAACCTCGGAAGGGTATTCTTGGTCGATGTCTTCGTCACTCAGCATCTGAGGAAGTCCGAGTGCTGCTCCGACATAGGCATCCAACTTTCGTACAATCCAGAAGATCCGCTTGCGCTCCTCGGACTCGATAGGGTTGAATTTGGTGGGCAGGTTACGATGCAGGCCTAGCCGACAGCAAGCTCGCAACGCAATGCCAATATAGGCGTAGCAGATGGGTAGCTTCGCCGAGGACTGGAGGAAAAGTATCATGAAGACAATGGCCTGGATCGTGACCAAATCCCTGCAGTCTGTGATGTCGAGGAGCTGCTTAGCGGTGCTGAAGTATTGGTATCTGACTTGACGTTAGCACAGGCGGCCTCATATCCGGTAGCACTTACCCTTGCTCGATTGCTTCCTTGTAACCTTTGATATCAAGCACCGTGTTCTCGTTTTCGGTTTTGGAGAACAGACAACCCACAGCCAGAACCACATAGAGCAGCGGCAGGAATTGGACGTGGTGGTTGTTGTATTGCTCCGGCTCGGTGTCGTAGACCGAGTGAAGACGTTTGAAGAAGGTCGGTCGGTGGATCGGGCGCATGAGAGCACAGGCGTCGTCCAACGTATTGCGGCATAGATCGATGGCCACATCTCTTGGGGGGAGGTCAACGTGAGGAGGGAGGCTAAAATCTATCGGTGACGAGTGGGCGGATTTGGGAGACTCGAGGATCTGGGCTATCGTTCGATTCTTCCGGGGACGCTCATACTCCGACAGGAACTGGTCACCAAACTGTGCGCGGAACTTCCGCATGAAGACGTAGCCGGACGAGTGGCCATGGAAATCCCAGTTGCCGTGGTCGTCGAGGTCCAGCGCACCCGTCCTATCGACCATCGACTGGAGTTGAGCATCGTCGTCTGGCTTGGGGGCCTCGGGGGCCGCTCGTCCCTCACCACTGACATTTGCTTTGCGCCGGCTATGCTCGATCAGCTGCTCGACACTGCGGGCGTCAAACTTGGGATCGTCGAGGTCAAGTCCCGGTAACACAGTTCGCAATATCGACTCGGCCTTTTGCAGTCGCTGTTCGAGGGCTTCGATGTACTGTGGTGCCGGGTTCCGCCGCCGGTTGGAAGGTTGGTCATAGGTACACTCTGAGATGCGCGTCAGTCACTCGAGCAAGCAGCCGAAGAGATCCCGTGCGGGATACGACAGACCATAGCTGTAGACCGTGCAATGCGTACACGGTTGTTTCCCGTCGCACTTGATCTTCTTCCTCCGGCATTCGTCACAGGCTCGGGTCACCCTCCGTCGCTTCTGCATGGGCACCTGTGGCTTTGCGCCAGAGTCGCTGGGCGGCGTATCTGGCAAAGGAGACTCAGGCCGCGATCCTGCCGCATGTTCGTCATCATGATGTGAGGCGCCGGCAGTCGAAATGGGCGCGGCATTGCTCAGAGCCTCGTCGGACGGGCGACCCAGGGACTGGGGGGTGTTGAAGTCCTGGTCGCCCATCCGATCCAAGCCTCAGGCAGCGGTGACAGCGAGTAGATGCTACGGAGGATGCCGAAGTGTTGCAGCACTCATCCACGCGCGACGTTCGACTCGACCCTGCAACTGGCGGAGGTGAAACGGGTGACGCATACGATTCAGAGAAGATTCACAAATAGCTGGATAAAAAACAGATTTGTCAGGGCCGGTCCACGGCGCCGCATTCGGATCTCGAGATACCCCGCAGTTCCAGTCGAATCTAGGCGCGAGCAGGATGGGCGATGCAAGGGAGAAAGGCAGCGACAAGAGGAGAGAGAAAGGTGAACGGCGATGGAAAGAGCAGCAGATGTGTGAAGGCGATCGACTCGGGCGGTACGAAGCGTACGAGGTTGCGGGTTCGCCCAACGACAAGCCAGGGCGTCCTTAGGGAGGCTACGGGGGGACGCCCACTGACGCCCACTGGCGCCCACTGGGTTGGGCTGAGGGGCCCGTCACCCGCTTGGGCGCTCGTCTACCCCCACCTTTACTTTTGTAAACGTCCACCACGGCGTCTCCAATGACGCAGTCTTGCAGCCAAACTCACCACGGAGGCCCCTAGCTGCGGAGCTTGTCTCCCGCGTGGATGCAGAGGCCAACCGGATAGCTGTGCGATGGATCCTCTTTGGCTGCTAGGGTTGCCCTTTGCTCCCTTTTTAGGGTCCCTCAGACAGGTTTCTCACAGCACAGGCAAGCGGTGCACGCGCGATACGACAGTCGCTCCACGCTCCGGCACCCATCGCAACGTGGACTGTCGATCCTCTGCCGCTGGGATACGAGTTCGGACGGACACTCGCCGATCGGAGGAGGTTTCACGGGCACGCTGGGTCGCGTTCAGAAAAATCAGGACGCTTTGGCATAACGAGCAGAGATCGAGAATACCGGAGATAGCTGACCAAGGGCGAGGCTTGAAGGGTCCAGGCGGATACCCCTGCACGAGTAACAGTCGCCTATGGACGAATGACAGCGACTCACCGGTCCCCTTCCAAGCACCATTTGGCCCTGCAAGAAACCGCTTTACCCCCGAATGGCAGCTGTATCCAGGGATGCCAGGACTCGAGCACCACTCGAACTCGTCGCCCAAAGAAACATTCGGTTCTTCTTTACAGATGTAGGAGCGTTCGAGGTCCTGAATCGAGCGCGGTATGCTTCACCCACCAGAACCGGAACAGCACTGGATGTCTGGAACTTTACTTCGTGTGAGGGGAGGAGGGGCACCCATGCATCGCGTGGCCATCCCACCATTAGGAGCACATATCACGCCAGGATCGGGGAAACGGACAACGAGGAGGCAAGCCCTGTCTATCTTTGTCGCACTTTTCTTCGACACACACGGATAAAGCCCGGCCTACGCCTCGCATTTTACCCTCAACATGGCGGTGAATGGCGGCCTTGATGATGGCATAGAGCAGCACTCAACACATGCGGTGGATCGTTTGAATAGAGGCTTGCGAGGCTTGCCGTCAGCCCCTCCTGTTATTCGCGCCCAATCATGACCACCCCATTGCTGGGTCGAGTAATAATCGACAGCCTCCAGGCTCACCATGCAGGGAACGTCTTGTTGTTTGGCTAGAACCCTTGTGATGGATATCAATCACAAACATCAGGATGCTGCCTTGGCCGAAACTGCCTGATCGGGCACCATCACTTTCTCCACATCCACGGCAGCATTGATACTCCGGCCGGAATCCATCTCCTGCCTGGACTGCAGGTCGCCGAACAACTCGTTTACGCTCTCGAGAGTATGACCCTGTGTTTCGGGATAACAGAAATACACAACAACTGCTGCGGTCCAGTTGAACGCGGTGAACAGGTAGAAGTAGCGATACCCCATCTTTGTGAGCGCAATAGGCGAGCATTGGGCAAAGATCAGGTTGACCGCCCAATTTGTGAACGTGGACAAGGAGGTGCCTTTGGCGCGCGCTGCTGTGGGAAACACTTCGCTGGAAAAAATCCAAGAGATGCACCCAACGCTCGTGAAGAAGACCGAGAAGACGAAATACATAGCCACACTCGCACGCAACGCGTTACCATTGCCACCAGGCGCCTGGTTCCCGTCGATGTAATAGTGTGCCAGAGTAGCATTGACACAGAGTGCAGCTCCCATGCCTATCATGGACGGGATCAACAGCTGCCTTCGTCCGACTCGATCCACGAACGCGATGCAGACGGTGTTATACACCTGGGCCAGTGCACCATAGATGCCGATGATCATGAGGCTCCTGCTAGTGCTGAAGTGCAAAGAGGCGTAGATCCGTGGTCCGTAATAGTTTATGACATTTATACCACTCGATATGGTGAAGAGTTGGATCCCACAAGCCAACAACACACGCCGTCGTAAACTTGGCACTCGAAACAAATCAAGCCAACCCATGCGGGAGTCGCGTGCGGCCTCAAGGTTGTCCTGGATCCGTTGGTATTCGGCTTCGACGAGACCAGGGTCGTGATGTAGTCGACTGAGCACGGCGTGCGCGCTCCTTAGCTCTCCACGTTCCGCAAGGAATCGTGGAGACTCGGGCAAGAACCAGACCCCGGCCGCGAGAACCACGGCGGGCAGCACTTGCATAGAGAGAGGAAACCTCCAGCTGAAGGGCCCTTCGACCAGCGAGCTTCCATAGCCTATCCACTGGGCGCACACGAATCTAGCTCCTGGTTAGTACTCTCACGCTGAGACGATTTGCGACTGGGGCTCGGACCCAAGACCAATGTTCCATTGTTGCAAACCTGCCAGCAAGGCTCTAAACTTCGGGTGAGCTACCTCCGAGCAGTAATTGGGTATCGTCGCCGACAAGAGACCGATCGCAAGGCCAGCGATGACCCGACCGACAATCACGGTGGCGACGCTGTTCGCACCGCCCTGCAACGCCCCTCCAACGCACGCGAGAATTGCGCCAGTGAAGATAGCAGCACGTCTGCCATATCTGTCAGAGAGGACATTGAGGCATAGTGATGAGACGATGGCCCCTCCAGTGAACGAGGAAACTATTCCACCTGCTGTATTGTCCGCCAGGGTTCCATTTCCGAAATGGCGGACAAAGTCTGTCTGGGCGATGGAAGAGGAGATGATCCCAGAATCTGCTTGTTCAGAGCATAGCTCGTCAGCATTGGGCTTTGAAAACTACGGATGTATGCGCCAGTGCAGTGTAGTGTGCAATGTCTGCCACTCGACTCAATCTTGTCCAACATGATTGAAGACCGCAAGGCTATTAAGGACCGGTGTGGCTCACCATAGCCAAAAAGCAGTGCCCCCAAGCACGCAAAAGCGCAACAGAAGCTGACTAGCAGCATTTGCATGGCATCGGGAGACCGCAGAAATGCAGCATAATCTGCAAAGGAGCCGCGTATGTGACCGAAAGGTTGTTCCTTTTCGGCTGTGATGTTGAAAGCACCTACTAACTCTGAATTAAGCCCTGATCAGTCTGGCTGAGCGACGACGTTGTTTGATCAACAAAGGCCGAGGCTGGCGGGGGCACGAGGTGTCCTCGGCTGCTCTCACGTGGGAAACAGGGCCATGAGTCTTTCCCGGATCCAGCCTAATTATTGGTGCCGCCCATTCAGCTGAGCTATTCGGAAAACATTAGACACCATCACTCTGGGCAAAGGCTGGCGAGACCGGCCTCAAACCACGATCCCAGGACGTGAATTGGCGCGCATGTGATGCCTCTTATCTGCGTATCGTTCCTGCTTAGCGACAAGCGGTCTCGAAACTTCGTCGACCCTGTGTGATTTTGTGCACAACACTCGTAGCCAGATGTAAAGCTTCCTTATGCCCGAGGAGCAGATTTTTCACAAACGTCAATTTCTCCCTCACCTAGACCAGTTACCGGCAAGAAGAAGGAGACTAGACTGTTGTAGTTCTCAAGTGACAGGGGCGATTGCCTTGAAAGTGCCATAGTCGTGTGGTTGCGGTCTCCAATGTGATCCGGCGGCACACTCGAACCTTGCCCGCCAGCTCTGCTCCGAACTTTTGAGTTTGTGACGTTGGGACCTAGAGCAGAAAGATATTGCTCGCCCCGAAATGCGCTGGCGCTGGGAACCCCTCTCATCCTGCATAGGCGATGAGATAGCGATGCTGAATGCGTTTTCGGCTGATCTCAGCCATTGGAGAATAAGATATCATGCTGGCTCCATCATGAACCGTGACCGATAACTGATCAAAGGCGCCCGCAAAATCTCCGTGCGTAGCTCGTTTTCCCAGTCAACCATGACTGGACTGAGCTCTGGACCCAAGGTAAGGAAGCTGAGGAGCAACTCATTTAGCCTTTCAAACGTTGGCCGCGACAGTCGTTTAGACACTTTGAGCATTCTACCAACAAACCAAGGCCTTTCTGTATGGAGCAGGACCGGATTTTTGCTGCCACTCAGCAATATTTGTATCAGTGCTTCCACAGAAATGTGTTGATCTAGTTCATTGTGCATGATATTGTCCATGAGCTCCGCAAAGAATTCCTCGCTGAACTCTGTGGAGTGGCGGTATTCCCAAATGGCTGTGTTGATCGTCATCAGCGCACCCAGCCTGGATATAATCTGTTTGAACTGTCCCGTGTCGGTATACCGTGCACCATTCGGACTGGCAAGGAGGTTATATAGAGGCTGACCCGGTAGGAAGACCGAGAACCGCAAAGGTTGCTGCCTTCGTGAAACCGGATTGCTCTGCATGCCCGCTTGCACGAGCGCGAGATGTTCGGCACACTTCAGGAACGTGATGAATTCTTCAGTCTGCTGCGCAATTTCGGTACGGCCAATGGACTCGGCCTCTTGCTCAGTCGTGTGTCTTGGTGAAGATTGATGGTCAAAGTAAAATGTGGCACCCTGACCCTTGTAGCCAGAGAAGATGTAGTCCGACCAATTGATCAACATTTGTAACCTGTTGTTTTGGACCAGAGCGGTTGGTCCGCCTCTGTCTCTGATCTTCTGCACAACCGCTTCCCAGTGCATCCAGGCATAGATGCGGCGCTCTATACGAGGATCGAAATCCTCCAAGGCCGCGGCGGAGATCGTCGCCGAGATCGTCGCATCTGAGGTGTCATGCGGGTGTTGCTGGTAGTGATGAAGAAGCAACTGAGAGGCCTTGGCACGATGTTCAATGGCAAGACGTGTTTCTGGGAGGCCTTGAACCCAAGCCTGTGTGTTGGCGGCGTGGACAAGGATGGTATTCTGGAAGCACACCGCGCCTTTCATGGCTTCTGGAATGAAGACTGTTAGGTACCAGTTGTGGGCACGAGGGCTTCGTCGCTCAAACCCGTACGAACATGCCGGCATGACGTTGGCATAGAAATCGAAAAGCTCCTGGTCCTGAGCGCTTAACTTTATGGGTAGGCAGTCGAACGGGTCAGTCCGAGCAGCACTCAGATACGATTGTGGTTCTGGACTTTGGGACGTGGCGCCGCATGATAGCCATTGCCAATTGGGCGGCGACGTTCGATCAGGAGAGTCCACGGACGATGGGGGCGTGACCAGTGGCTTGGAGACCATGTCCGCCAGCTTTGCAAAGGCCGAAGAACCCAGGGAGAAGGCAGGCCTGGGATCATTGGGAACCGCCTCCAAGTCGGGGTTGTGACGAACAATCTCTTCGACAGGATCATCATGATGGCTTTGGTGCTCGCGTTGGTCCTTTGGCGCTCCTTGCAAAGACATACAGCGCAGGGCATCGCCAGGTTCGAAGGCCGGCGAGGTTTCCCGCTCCTCACGTTTATGTGTCGGTCGTGATTGCGACCTAGCTTTCACGCCTCTCTTGCGGGTCGGCGGGTGAGACTCCCCAGCAATATTGGAATGGGAGCGAGCCTCCCAACGCTTCTCCCTCATGTATTCTTGCATAACATGACGTCGAACTTGAGTGGAGTTGGAGCCTGAAGAGCTGACGTTGCTATTGTCGATGAACTGGAAGCGCCGCTGAGGTTTCCTCGACCCAGAAGCCATTGCTATTATATGTGCTCGGTGGAGCGATCGTCTTTTCTCGAAGCCGCAAAGATCCTGGAGAGTCGGTGCAAGAAGCCTGCCAGACGGAAAGGATGTGTACCTAGTGCTTCGAGCTTTGTTTGGGCGTTCGACCTGGAAATGCTCGGTTTCGAGGACATGGTCAAAATAGAGGCGGGCTGGCCAGGAGGCTTTTGGCCACGGATTGTTTTGGCTCTAGCTAGGGAATGATTCTATCCTTTCGTGAAAATGAGCCAGGTCCCTAATCGAGCTTTACCTCACGGAAGGAACCAGTTTACCAGATGGACATGTCAGACTTTTTGGCAAGCCCGGAAAGTCGCCTCGCTCCAGGCCTGCCGTCCGAGACGGGCTTGAGCAATGTACAGTTTGGGAAAGGAAGACTCGGCGGGCCCAAGTGGCCATCGGTGTCCCACGATCTCTTAGAGCAGCAGTGAGGGGCATGGATGTACCGTGTATGGTAGCTGAAGAGAAGCATGTGGTTAATCCAACTCGCTCAGGCGGCTCGCAAGTTGGACGCACGGGGTTGTAGGCCGTCAGTAGGCACGGACAGGTCTGGAGTCTTTCGCCAGCAATGGGAGCTCTCGCAACTGTACTGGGGTGCTGTGGTACTGGGTACTGGGTAGAGTTAGTCAGGCCCCGAGCGAGCCTACAGTGGCTGCCCCAGGTCCATCATTATCTGTTTTGGGGGCTTACGAAAGGCTTAGGGACCCTTAAGGCTCGGGTTGGCTGGCGTCTCGGGCCAGGTGCTCCGGGGAGCAGCCCTGCCGGCTGCAGCAACAACCTTTTCCGTCGATGCTGGTCAGATCGGCTTGAGAACGGCAAGATCTCAAGTTGAGCGAGAACGAATGCCGACCCTTGGCCACGCAAGCAAACGAGGTATTACTGTCACCACTGTGTTGAGTTATGTCACGATCCAATCAACACGGCGACATACCCTGGGCGGCGACTCGGGTCATGCACCTTGGGGACTTTGTGATAGCCATACGAAAGTGAATATAGCCGAAAAGAGAGGTAGCATGATCGGTGACACCAGCTTCTAGAGTGCTCGCGATGTTGGGATTGGGTTTGCCACAGAAGATGGTACCTCTGCTGAGCTGCAATGCAACGGGTTCGGTAGACGCGCCGCCGGGTTCGCTGACTGTCAAGACTTGTATAAAGAGAGCATCTATCGACCCACGACCTTGTGACAGAATTTGTGCGTGTCCCTGTCGGTATCGCTCCCTGCCTTGCCCTCATGTGCGGACCCCGACATGGCCATAACCTTGGTATGTACTCCGTATTAACTGTCCGACTGACGGTTTACTGGGGACCAATAGAGACAGCAGAGGTAGGTAATAGACGGAATGCGCCTGGCTCGTCCACACCGGCTCGTGGAAACAGCGACGGCAGCAGCATCTCGGAGGACGCGAGCCTGAAGCCTGGAGGTTTGGGACATGTCAGTCAACACATACTGCGTCGTGTTGAAGCACTTGTCCCCTTTGCAGCCGATTGGTTCTGCGGTCACAGGTTTCTCTCCTGACACTCCAGCGTCTCAGAAGCTGCCTCAGCCTGTGGCCAAGCGACCTTGCTGGGTCTGTGAGTCGTCGATGCTTCCCCATGCACCGGCCTCCACACTTCTCAAGGTTTCCCTTGATCATCACTGGCCGCCTGCAGCAGCCGCCTCAGAATCTGAATCTCAAGCCTAAAACCGCATCGACGTCGACGGACACTCCCGCAAGTGATGTGTTGGGTTGCACCGACACCCCTTGGACCCTGACTTTGCTTGTCCTTCTTCCTCTTCTGGTCCACCGCCCGCTGCAACTACCGCTGTGTAGTACTTACATTGCTGCACTGCATCAGGCCAGCATCTACTCACTAGCCACCACCTGCCGGTGACCAGCTTGATCTTCCGCCGAACTGCAGGTCCCAGTTCCTGCATCGTCGCCGTGCAACGTTTGCCCAAGCGGCTCGGAAGAACAGTCGCCACGCGCTCCTGGCTGGATACCATTCGCGTCCCTCGATTCTACGATCAGCACAGACTTCCTTAGAGGCGTCAACGCCACTTCGGGAGGCTCGTCACTCCTCAGTTGATCTCGACCAGCCTTCTTCTGCGGAAAGGAGCCTGATACTCTACTACTCCAACGCCATGGCGCAAGCAACTCAGTCGATAAAGTGTGTTGTCACTGGCGACGGTGCTGTCGGGAAGACGTGTCTGCTGATATCCTACACCACGAATGCTTTCCCCGGCGAATACATCCCGACTGTCTTCGACAACTACTCCGCCAGTGTTATGGTAGATGGGAAACCAGTATCGCTGGGTTTGTGGGATACTGCAGGTCAAGAAGACTACGATCGATTGCGACCTCTTTCATACCCACAGACAGATGTCTTTCTGATATGCTTCTCTATCGTCTCACCTCCTAGTTTCGACAACGTCAAGGCAAAGGTGGGAGCACCATGTTTCTATATTCGCCCAATGTTCGAGCTGACAGTTTCGGATGTAGTGGTACCCCGAAATTGAGCACCACGCGCCCAATGTGCCCATCATCCTTGTTGGAACCAAGCTAGACCTTCGAGAAGACAAAGCAACGGCCGACAACTTGAGGGCAAAAAAGATGGAACCCGTCTCGTACGAGCAGGCACTGGCAGTGGCGAAAGAAATCAAAGCGGTGAAATACCTGGAATGCTCCGCACTCACACAACGAAATCTGAAGAGCGTGTTCGATGAAGCCATTAGGTGAGGCGCAATCTCAGCGTGGCATGCTGGCAAGACACTGACGAACATGTCCCTAGGGCTGTACTCAACCCTCGACCTACGACGACCAAGAAGAAGTCACGATGCACCATTCTCTAGGACGTTTCCAAGCGCAAGCGCGCTTCTAAATTGGGGTTTTGGCGGTGAAGAGGTTTGATCCAAGATGCAGGGCAACAGATGGACATAGACTTCTCTGCTTCGCTGCTTCCTCTTTACTTCGATACAACTTTGCCGTTCACCTTTGCGCCTGCTTCCAGGACGCCGCTGAAAGTGCCCGGGGGAGAATTTGGGGCATCCAACTAATACAGCTTCAACCAAGGCGCGAATGGAGGCGTTGATATAGGAAGGGATTCACATCCGATATTTCGAGCAGAAGCATACTTGTCCTCGTAAACTGTCACCTTCATATTTGCTGGCCGAATCCCCAGTGCTTCAGTGGCTCACTCGAGAAAGACGGCTAGGATGGATGTCCCCACGAGTGTCCTTGACTTCCACCGTATTTGCACCCGTTTCAGGCGGCGCCTTGTGCTTCCGAGAACCCTGCTCGCGCTCAGCCTTCTCCTTGAGTCGCCTCCGCCCTCGTTCCTCTTCAAGTTTTTGGTTCTTTGAGTTGATTCTTGCCTTGCGAGCTTTGCTCTTGCCGCCTCCTCCGGCCGTAAGCTCGACATTGATTCTTCGCCCCTTCTGCTTCCCGCTCGGCTTCGTCTGCTCTTTGTCGTCTTGCTGAGCAGCGGCTGCATCTTTCCCCTCCCCTTTGGCCTCCGGATCGAAGATAGAATGATGGTACAATTTCAAACACGTCTTCATCTTGTCGTAATGGTCGAACTCGAGAAAGGCATACCCCTTACTCTTTCCACTAGCTTTCTCGGTCGCATGACGGACGGAGGTGGGTGCAATCTTGGAGAAATGGGCGTTGATCTGATCAAGAGTGGCGTCGTAAGGGAGGTTGCCGACAAAACAGATAAATCGAGCTGGAGCGGACTTCTTGTCGCCGTCATCCTTCTCTTTCTTTGCCTTATTCTCGTCGCCGTCGCGGTTCTCTTTCTTCGCCTTCTTCGCCTTCTTCTTGTCGCCGTCGTCCTTCTCTTTCTTTGCCTTCTTCTTGTCCTTCTTGGACTTCTTCATCTCCCCGTCCGGTTCTTGTGTGGAGGCCCCCTCGGCTGCCACTGGCGCAGGTGATGAGGAAACATGTGCTGCATGACCCGTCGAGGGATCTTGTTCTGGCGCTTCCTCTTTCGACTTCTTCTGTTTCTTTGCTCTTCGTTCCGACTTCTCCTGCTTCAGCTGTCCCTTTGACTTTGCCGGAACTGCCGAGACTTCATTTTGGGAAGTTTTGTCTGGCTGTGGCTTTGTACTTTGCAGGTCTTCCCGATCTTGAATCTGTTCGTGCTTCCTCTTCTTAGACATCTTGGAGTGTTGCGGCAATAGAATGAGGTCTTAGTAGGAACAAAGCAGGTACATAATATGGCGCAGAGGGCCGGGGCGGATGTGTGGTCGCGAACTTTTTGAGGGTGCTGGAAAAAATAATTTCGGCGGGCTGAAGTAAGGCATCCGTGACTGAGCGCCACGAGTCCAGCGGAGGGACGTCATCCTCCTCCCTAACCGCATAGGTGGGTGATAGGCATCCTCGTACCCGCGGCGTGTCATTGGCATGCTTCACTTCCGCCTAAACTCCCAGTCCCGCCCCGGAGCAACAGCTGGATATGTCCTCTTTCCTTTCGGGGTTGCCTTCAGTCTCGAACTTCGATTCCTCGTTTCGCACGCTTATGCAGCGGAGCCGTTCTTTCCTCTCCCTCACAACAACAGCTATGATAGACAGATGAACCACGAGGGCTCCCACTCCTTTCTCACCCCGCCTTAGAGACAGCTGTCCCTCTTCCTCCCGACCTCAACTCCACCATGGCAGTCTACGCATCTCAACTCTCTACCAAAGGCCATTTTGCGAACAGCGTCCCGACTCTACCGACACAAGCGCCTCCAGCCGGCACGTTCTTGCCAGGCACCAAGGTTCAGGTGGGTGACCACAGGGTCATCATTGACCGCTACCTGTCCGAAGGTGGCTTTGCCCATGTCTACGTTGTGCAGCTCCCCCACGCCGTCGATGGAAACCAGAAGGCCGTGCTCAAGAGGGTGGCCGTGCCCGACAAGGATCACCTGGCCAACATGAGAACAGAGGTCGAGACCATGAAGAGACTGCGCGGGAAGAAACACATTGTCAAGTACATCGACTCGCACGCCTCTCAGTTGAAGGGTGGTGGCTATGAAGTATTTCTGCTCATGGAATTCTGTCAGGGCGGCGGACTTATCGACTTTATGAACACTCGCCTGCAGAATCGGTTGACCGAGCCTGAGATTCTGAAGATCTTCACAGATGTGGCAGAGGGCGTGGCTTGCATGCATTACCTGAAGCCGCCTCTGATGCACCGAGATCTCAAAGTCGAGAACGTCCTCATATCCACGAGCGGCTCGTCCAGGATATACAAGCTGTGTGACTTTGGGTCAGCAGCTCCTGCGAGACCAGCCGCGACCAGTGCCGCCGAAGGACGGCTAATAGAGGACGACATCAACCGCCATACTACATTGCAGTATCGCAGTCCCGAGATGATCGACGTGTACAGGAAGCAGCCGATCGATGAGAACTCTGATATTTGGGCCCTTGGTGTATTCCTGTACAAGCTTTGCTATTATACCACTCCATTTGAGGAAGCTGGGCAAATGGCAATCTTGAATGCCAAGTTCAAGTTCCCCGGCTACCCACGCTTCTCCGATCAGTTGAAGCTGCTGATCGCCTCGATGCTCCGAGAGAAACCATCAGACCGGCCCAACATATATCAGGTGTTACAAAAAGCTTGTCAGCTGGACGGCCGCGAGTTGAGGTTTGAAAACATCTATGCTCGCAGGACACAATCGGAAAGTCGTAAAGATCAAGTGCTTCCGCAACCCTCTAGCTCGCAATCACGAGCCGGTGCCACGTTGTCCCCTCCAAAACAAGCAGCTCCTCCTGCCATTCCTGATATTGAACCAATGCGACGAGGGCGACCGACTAAACCTGTTTCTCACCACGGTTCGGCCAAACCGAGTCCGTCACCGCTACGAATGATGGAGGATGCGCATTCAGATCCCTTCGCTGCCCTGGACGGTAACAGGGCGTCTGCTGAGGACGAACTCTCCTCGCGCTTTCCCACGCTTGATCAGTTCTCCTTGATGACCGACAAGGGGCAAAAATTTGCGTTTGAATCCCACCTTGAGAAGGACACAGTGGCTGATCCCCGGCTAGCTCAACGGGTGACGAATGCTTTAGCAGATGATGCGTTCGCAAGGCCTCCCAGTCCTGCCAAACCTAAACCGCCGCCAGAGAAGTCGGCTGCCGTTGTTAGATCGCAGACTGTTCTGCAGCACAAAAGATCGCTCGAAGGCAAAGAAACACAAGCACGTGCAAGCCCGGCCAATGCTCCACCTGTCACTGCGCCCAAGCCGGCGATGGTATCGACCGGTACGATGACAGCCTCCCCCCCGGCTGTTGAATCCGAAGCCAAGCCGTTCGCCGAACGTCCAGTCCACCGTTTCCCACCCAAAGAGCAACCCCTGAAAAGTACGGTTACGCCAGTTCAGAAATACGAAGACTTAGAGCTGCCTCCACGAGAGCCCCGTTCCACCCGCAATAAAGATGCGTCCAGGCTAGCAAACCTGCTGAGGGAAGATGCGCACCGCTCGCAGCTCGCCGGTGACGTTGAGCCAAGGTCGCCGACATCGTCGCGTCCGTCTTTAGAAGGCGGACGTCCGACCATGCGAGAACTGAGTCCCGGCGTGAGCAGGTCCAGGTCGCTCAATTTCAGGACCCGACCCGCCAGCGTTAACATCGGGGCGCGACCTACTCACATCAAGGACAAGGAAATCAAAAGCCTCGACTATGAGACGACTTTCACGAGTGCAGAACCGGAAACGGCCCCTTTGGCACAGGTAGAGTCAGCCACAAACATCACGTCGGACGTTGAGTTTCTCAAGGCCAAAGAAGAGGAGGAGAAGGAACGTCGACACCACCATAGGAGGCTGGGCAGCGGTCCAAAACATCTCAAGAGAGCCAGCTTACCGTCGATTGTCCCCAATATTGCGGGTACGACGAAGCTGCTGGCTGGTAAGTTCGGGGACGCGTTCAAGATGTTTGAAAGCAACAGCGACTCAAATCACCATCGACAACGTAGCGACTCTCCATCACGGGATCCCATCAACGTCCTGACACCGATTGCCGGCTCAGAAGCGACGGACTTGAATGATGATCGGCACCCGTGGGACGATGCGGAGGACCAGACTCCTGAGGTCAGACGTGAGATCGAGAAGAGAAAGCTGGAGGCTGAGGAGAAAAGAGTCGCTCAGGCGGCTGCAGAGTACCGACATCGACTAGCAGCACGAGGAGGTGGTGCTTCGGGTGGTGGTGGTGGCGGCGGCGTTGGCAGATCGGCTACCATTCAGCACAGGGTCAAGTCGCTTCTAAATGAGAACACTCGACCGGCTCAGAAGACCGCAACCGGATACGGCCACTTCACCGAACCTGCAGCGCCTCAACAGCCGCATGGGAATGAGAGGCGGTCCTCTCAGCCGTCTGGCCAATCTCCGACTCAGTTGTCAAGCCATGTAGAACGGCATGGTGTCCCAGAAGTCACTGCATCCGCTCCATCCTCCACCACAGATCTTACGCAGGTCAATTCGCGCGGACAGAGACCTACAGCACCCCCCAAGCCAAAGGTGCTGCGGACAGCTGGAGCCGTCGAAACGAGTGTCGGCCGTGCAAACGAGGCCACAGCAGCTTCAACCACGACACTCGATGAAGACTGGGAAGCCAATTTTAGTCGGCGATATCCTAGTCTTGCGGGCATCGAGATGGTAGAGACGTCGATCGACGCGCCCAAGCCCACAACGACTGTACGAACGAAAGAAGTGTGATGAGTGATGTTGTGCGAGGCAGTCATATACATGTAGAGCTGAATCAATGGCACTTGTGCCTTACAACACCCATCAATCTGACCGTTCCAATGCAGTAGATGATGAGTCGAGAGTGAAGTGAAAGCGAAGTGCAAGTGAAGATGTTCCACTTCATACTTGCGTGACAGCCACTTCCTCTGTGACTGCCAGACTTCTTTATTTCGTCTCAGGAACGATGTTCTTCGTTCCTCGCTTCATAGTCACTCCAACCCAGACATTGGTGTTCCTCAATACACGTCCTCCGTTCGCTGCTCTACATCATTATCGGGATCGTGGTCACTTGAGACGACAATGGCAGCGCCTCGGAGCGGGGCACAAGCGTGGAATGCCGAGACGACCAATGCGCCGTCACTTGGCAAGCCAGACAGTGACCAGGATTATGATTATCGCCCCGGTTCCCCGTACTCGTACCGAGTCGGAGCAGCCTCAGGCACTCGGACTGTCGCCAGGGCTGGAATCAAAGGCAAAAGATTCGACAACGCCCCCGACTCACGCGTCCACCGCCATCGCAAGACGAAATACTCGTATAGAATTGGCATCCGGCTGCCTCGAGAGAAGCTGCTGACCTTCCCTCAATACAACGGAAGGGTCAAGGACTTCGTGCGCCAGTGGGGCGGCTCGTTCGTGACGCTCAAGGTTCCACCGTGGAAGTTGTGTGCCATCGACGCCATCGGCGCCGCGCCGGGAAACACTATTGTCCCAACGGCTGTTGTTCCTGTACTTCGTCGACCCGTATCATCACTTCCAGGGGTGTCGACGGCGCGCTCGCCTTCCACGACGACAACATCTCCTCCGTCACGACTCTCGGTGACGGGCCCATCGAGCTTCTCAGACGCGGATCTTGGCCCACCCAACACCCCGTTTACCACATATCCGTCACCCGAAGCGGAAGCGGACCTTCGCTGCATCGAGACCAGGACAGCAGCAGCTCAGCAGGACCTTCTTCTAGCACAGACTACTGGGTCATTCAGCGCACGTGATACGAGAGGACGATACTCTGCGCCTACGGCCGCAGCGACAGCAGCGACAGCAGCGACATTCCAGATCGGCACCACCTTCGACGACCTGCCTGTTGCCGAACGCCTCATCCGCAACAACACCATGGCCCCCGTCAAGGACACCAGCAGCGTGCACAACACGATCAAAGGCATCATCCAGCACTTGACGGACATCCAACTGCAGACGCACGGCTACATCCCGCAGACGCAGGATCTGCTCGTCGACAAGCTCACCGACCTGACGACGTCGCTGGCCGAGCTGAAACGGCTGACGTCCGCGCAGGAGTCCCCCAACAATTACATCCACCAGGTGGCCATCGCGCCGGAGATAGTCGACTACGTCGACGACGGGCGCAACCCGGACATCTTCACCCGCGACTTTGTCGAGATCGTGCAGCGCGGCAACGCCGTCGTGCACGGCAAGCAGCGCGCCTTTCGCGACTTCACCGAGGTGTACGCGCGCAAGTTGAAGGAGGGCATCCCCGGCGTGAGTGCCCAGGTGGACCGGGTGCTCAAGAACGCCGGCTTTGAGGAACAGGATGCGTCGAGGTCGAGCACGAATGGGGCCCACGACGCGGAGAGGCACGTCGATCCGTAGAGACATGAGACATGGACACGGGCACGCGTCGGCGAATGGGTGAAATCAGCCCGAGGGAGGAGCTGTTTCGTGAGCTCGGGCGTCATGGCCTCTAACTGGATTGTACGCACGAGGGATAGAATCTACGTTTCACCCGGATATCTTACGCAGGATGCATCGATACCTTAGGCAGGATGCACCAACCATACAATTACCATCCCAGCGCTGATAAATGATAGAGGGACAGCAGCAGCGAGGTCTTTTACGTTACCAGCCCAAAGAGTCCATTGCATTGGCTAAGCTTCAGGTAGCGGAATCACTATTCGAGGCTGTCGCCTCGGAATGCGACCTCCAGTGGGAGTCTAATTCTACTCCAGTATGGGACCATGTCATCCCATGGGGGAGTTAATTCCCGTCAGCATGCCACTGACCGCCAGCCCGGAGCCCCAAAAGACAAAATTTGTGTACCACTCGAGATAGAAAGGAGACCTGGGAGCAATGTCCTTGGTTTCCCAAGAAACCCGACATCTCCGAGGATGCGATACAACCCAACTGTGGCCAGGATATTTGAATTGGGGTGGTGAATCTACAGTAGGTTCCTCAGCTCGCTCTCTAGGCTAGCTGCATATTCGAGGAAGTTGGCTCCAGGGTTCATGAGGTGCGGAAGTAGTCACTTGTCCACTCGTAGGGGCGCGCAGGCATCATCGATAGACCTGGAAACCGATTCGGCCTTTTGGTTTACCGACGTTCAGATGATACGCACTGTGTTTGGCAAGTTTCAGGGCCGTGAATGCGCAGAAGCGCCGCCGCCGACGGTCAGAGAGTTCTCGGACCCGGCCTGTCGACTCCACGCAGCGAGAGCCGCACGTTGAGCTTGGGGAATCAGTCGATGTGAAGAAGTCAGCGATGCAGGCAAGAAAATTCAAGGCGATGTCAAGCCTTCTGGTACCGAACATTGCCAAATTTTCGCATGCTTAGCTAGAGAACCGTGTCCACTGGCCACTGGCAATACCATGAGAGGGGTTCCGCTGATGGGAGAGCATGGCATTCGAAGACTCGCCAGGGGGGGATTTTCATTGGAAATCCTTATCTTCGAGCTGGTAAAGCTCAGTCGAGAGCGTCATAACAAGGCAGAACCACCTACCAGTCTGATCATCATGTGTGTCCGAAGAAACAGAATGAGGGTACCATTGTCGCTCGAGTCCGATAGTAAGAGAAAGCGTTGAGCTGTACTTGTGACGGGTAGCACTCACAATTGCGCGATAGCAAATGCGACACGAGGTTCCCGGACGACCTCGTTGAAGGCATCAACAGCTCATTGAAACCCATGCTGATAAGCTGGGGCTTATTGGAAGAGCCCAATAGGCTCATCCATGTGGCCCATGAAGCTGTGGCTGAGCCATTCCCTTATTTAACCTGAGATACAGATCGGCGACATTAAAGTCGGCAAGTTCTTGTTTCAATTTGACAATCTCTTGCTGCTGCTGCTCGATGATTTGTTGCTGCAGCGGGATTGTCGTATCTCGGGCACCTGGCGAGACGCCATGGTTTTGTTGAAGATTGGTAACGTCGACTTCTAAGGCCTTGGTGTGATCATCTCCCTGCCTTTGGTGAATTCCGTGAGCTTCGCATAGATCTCAGACGGTGAATTGAACGCGAAGTACTCACCTCTGAGGCCGACTTAGGTCTTCCTGCTGAACCCGGATCTGATCACGATTGGCGGTGGAGGCCTTGAGCCGTTGTCGTCGCTCGAACCTGGTGATCTTCGCTTTTGGAACCCGGACACCACGGACGATGGCATTCTTGGTCGGCTTTCGGAGGACCTTTTTCATGTCGTTTGAGCTGAAATTCTTGCGAATGCCCCATCGAGCAAATTGCCGTTTGTACTATTTGTCTGTCGCATGGAAACCGTGGCCTCGCTCAATCCGCTCGATCACATCCGCAAGTTCATGAAGCCGATAAAGACCTTCTATAACAGAACGGTGTCGGTCCCATTCAGCTTCGGCGATGGGCAGAGCCCGCACGTTTGGCCGACGTTGCAGGGACATTAAGGCACTGGCGGTGCCTACGAGGGGATTGATTGTCAAGCCCCAAATGTTGGACTCACCACAGCGAAGAACAGCAGTCTTCGTCCAGACTGTAACGAGATCTTTTAGAGGTACAGATCATGGTCCTCTCGTCTTAAGCCGACCGGAGTCTTGAACACCATGGATTTGACTTGAGTTGATGTTCATTTCGAGTGGGAGGCATGCACCCGTGAATTCCAGGAAATGGCGCGTGGATGACCAGCAGACGGATTCGAAGTCTTTCGCAACAACTCCAGTTGACACAAGTTGCAACTTACGGCACCTGCAGATCTCGGCATCAACCAGCCCAAGCCAAGAACCGCCAAGGACGCAGAGTGAGCCTCTAAGAGAGATGTCGGTTCTCAAGGCGCAAAGGCGGCTGCTGACAGACGCCACTTGGTGACTTGGACAACCGCCAGATGGGGCCCATCGGGTCACTCTGCAAGTAGTATTCTGCGTTTAGAAACGCCTGCCACAAGTTGCAACTTGTGCCATGAAGGCCTTTGGTGATTAGCGTCCTGCCGCCCCAAGGTAGCTGGTCGGTGCCCCCTTCTCTCACAGCGAGAAGCCTCAAGGTCCGCTCAACCCGTCAGAATGACAAGGCATCTCAGCAACATGGGTCGTCTGATCACGGATGACCTAGGCCACAAAGGTGCTGGTTGACCCTGGCCGCCTGGGCCAGCGTCGCACGGGGATAGGCTTAGGTATCGCACCTGCGACAGGCACGGACAGGACGGCCAGCAGCTCCCTGCCCTGCACAGCCTTGTAGGGGACTGGGGTCTCAAAGTCGTTCGAACAAAAGTTGTTGAAGTAGAGTATATAGGTGCCTCTGCACTACGGCAGTGGTACATCGTCCACACATCGACAGCACTGTAATCTGCTTCAGAAACTTCCAGATCGATCAACCGGTACAATTATCTTCTCTCTCACCTCAACTGGGATTTCCTTGCAAAATTGAACCTTGGGACGACCCTGCTGCAGCAGCAGAAGTCTGCCTTGTCAACAGCCCTTGCCTATCCGGACTCCCACCGCCGCCACGTCTTGCTCTCGCACAGCCACAACTTGGTGTCCACAATGGGGATCGGGGCCGAGGTCACCGTCTCCATTGTATTTGGGGTCTTCATGGCCATTATTGCTCTCTTGGGCTTGTGGCAGGTCGCCCATTACGCGGCGCGAAGCCTCCGAAGTGAGTACTCCGTACATGGTCCCATCTCTTGAGGTTGCTGACTAGTGTAGCACCCAATCACCAGAACAGTTTCGAGCTTGAGGCCTGACACCCATTGGTGCCAGGTCGCACAGCTTCTGCGGTGGAGGGAGACCTGCTAGGATTCCCAGCACTGGCAGTTATGCTTGAGTCAAGTCGTGTGGCGCTCTGGTGGAAGAAGTGGTGAAGCTCTGTTGGGTGCAAAGATACTTTCGACCAAGTCAAGCCGGTTCTCAGGCCCACCTTTCCTGACTGAGACCCAACCATCAAATCAAGTCAGCAACTGGGGAGGGTGGAAGCAGGTAGTGCGAATCATCAGATGCGTCCGAAGTGTCGGAATGACCTGAGCTGAAGCTCAGACTGCAAAGTGACGAAGTCCGGGCTCTCAGGCCTCGGGCACCTTGCACCGTTTCCATCGTGGTTTCCACAGCACGAGCCTAGGATGACGAGTTTCTGCTTCAAGTCGTTGGATCTCATTACATAGACACTACCTTATCTGAATTCATTGGGATACTCGTGACATGGTCGTCAATGTAGAGGCATCTCCTCGCCTCGATAATTTGCCCCTCACATCTTCACACACGTTTGACTATCCGCAGATAGGTAAAACTGCGATCAACTCCGGTTCTCTGTACAGTGACTGTGTCTCCTGTTCCGTCATTCTTTCTCATCGGAATGCGCCGTGCAAACTCCTCCTGCTCTGCAGGCGTATATGTTTATACTCCATACTCCTTGTCTTGTACGAAGCTGCCTCGACTCCTCGTGCTCCGGCTTCGTCGACCTCCGAACGTGAACCCCTTCCGTTTTGATGTTCTTGGCTCTCGTCGCGATGATCCGCCAACACAGAACAAGATGGTGCAGATGAGAAAGCAAGCGAAAGCTGCCCACTCGAAGCCGAAGGCGTATTTGCCAATATCAGCGCGTTGACCATTGTTGCGGAAGTTGTTGCGCCCCTTGATATATGCGGCCCTGGGAGATCGTTAGCACCGGACGAGGCACGCATCTCTGTTCACACTCACGTCATGAGAGAGGCATTGATTGCCTGGAATATCATGGCTATCATGGTCATGAGGCTGCTAAGATAAGATCCGAGTCTGGTGCACAGTGCCAGCAGCCCAGTGAACAAGCCCAATACGGCAAAGAAAAGGGCCATGAGCATGAAAGCAAACATGAACCGTGTCATAAAGTAGTAGTAGCCATGATGCTCGACGAAGTTCCGAGGGACACCGACCCTAGTGTCGAAGGAGCGATGAGAGGAAGGATCCAGAGGGAACGCAGGGTGAATGTTTGAGTAGTCCTGGTCGCCGCAGAAGGTCCGTCCGTTCCGAACGCCACAGACATTCCAGTATGACCATCTTGAAACCGGAGGTGCGCCTGGTATTCTTGCCGTGTCGGCTTGGAGAATGTAGAATCTGTTGACAGGACCGTGGTCAATCGCGCCGGCGAGAAGGATGAAGAACATGAAGAGTAGGCCGGCAGCGAGGAGTATCAGCGAAACCAACCCGAAGAGGCCATTTCCTGTGCGGTCGTGGTCAGAATCCCGCAGGTCTGAAGAGGTTAATGTTCACTTACGGGACGCCATGGTGTGCAGAGTCCAAGTAGGTGCCGGAGCGCACTGAAGAAATCTGGCCGAACACTCGCAGTCGCAGTGAAGAAACGGCAGAACGGCAGCTGCGCGACAGAGCTGTCGAGCTATAGCAAGACAAGCGAAGCAGGTGAGGTAACCACGATCTGTGGCAGAGGTAGAAAGAGGTCGTGGTGCAAGAGCTCGTGATGTATGCAGCCCGGGATACTACCGGCTGTCAATATCTTGGATTTCGTCACTGATCGGGCTCGTCGGGGTATGCTGATCACGCTCCTAGCTGCCTCCAGACCCTTCGAATGGGCTCGGATGAGCAGCAAAGCACTTTACGAGCTACGTGGTGGCGTGGACCCGCAATCGAGGACAAGATTAGCGAGGAGCTTTAATGCTGTCGTCAGAGTACGAGTTACCGTGTACACAATGATAGCTGCACGAGCAATGACCCTCCGTGCGCCCTCTTCGAAGCTCGATTGTTATGGGAGGCCTTTCAGTTTGGAGAAGGTCACGTTACCAGTGCAGCGCCGGTTAATTACTGGTAGCTCGTAAGCGGACCTCCGAGCAAGAATGGCACCAGCGCAGCAACCCAAGCGTTGTCACGTCATCAGTCATCAAAGCCACGCCCACTTTCTGGCCCAGGCCCTACCGAAAGAGGTGAGGCGTCGTAGGCTTCTTGCTTGGCCTGCCACTAGCGCAAACCTTGGCTCCCAGCTCTGCAGGCAGGCGCTAGCGAATCCGATCGCAGGCTCGCGCTCACTCTCACACTCACCTACGAGTACGTGATCGCGGGCTGCACCAGCCAGCCTCGTCAGCAACTCGTCTCAGAGAAAGTCGACGCTCATAGTCTTTGATTGACTGCCTTCTTCCCCAATGTCGACCTGGGTCTATCCTCCAATCCCCCCTGACGAGCTTCGAAAAGCCGAAGATGAATCCTTGGTAAGGTCAACAAGCGACCGATGCCTGAGTTTCCAACTGATTTGACAATAGAAACTTGAGCTGCAGTGGCTGCTTCAGTCTTTACAGGAGTCACTGGGCGCATTGAAGGAAGGCCTCGAGGAATGTGCTGCATTGCTGGCGCCGAAGGAGCCGGGCTCGACGCTGGTGCTCTCATCCCTTCGGTCAGAGAGCGTCAAAGGCTTTGTGACTAGGGTTGGCACAAAGCTCGTCAAAGGAGTAGGCCAAAGTCGCCCTTGTCCAACGCCTACACCAGCTAACACGAGACCAGGATATTCACCTCCGCTTGACGACGCTGCCGCCAAACACGCCCAGAGGCACGACCACGTCTACGCCGTCCACGAGGCTAATCTTCCACTCGTCATCCTCGTCTGCCGACATCATTCTCCCGCAACTTCAAGCTGTCAAGTCACTGGTGAATGACTCGCTCGACATCATCGACGTCTCAAGGTGGACCGGTCAGTCCACCGACTCCTCCTTCATCTCGGGCCAACTGAAGCTTCTGCACGATCAGCTTCGTGAAGCCAAAGCTTGCTTGAAAGGTCCAGTGCCGGGTGGCAATGCTAGCTCAGTTCCCGGAGCAGAGTGGTGGACAAACAGTCCCGATGAGAACGTCTTTCAGCCGCCATTAAGCGAACTGGTCAGTCTGCACTTCACCATTCAAGACGCCAACCTTGTCCTCACTGTGCGGACATTGACCCCAACCTCACCCGGCGGGACCCCAAGTACCCCTACAGAGGGAGCCTTTTCTCTATCTGGACTCAACCTGAGAACGAGGTTACTGGGCCTGGGGCCTAAGCCTCCCAATCACGATGAAATGGGTGAAATCTTTGAATGGCGTGGACGACAAGATGTCATTGTGCGCGAGAAGGTACGGGTCGAGTCCGGGGATCCTAGTCTGATGAGCGTTGCAGCCAAAATCAGTGCACTTGAACATGATGTTGCGCGCTGGAGGATGAATCTCCGGATCATTCTGACCGGCAGCACCGAGGAGGATTGAGTTCCCCCATCGTTCAGCTCGAACTCTAACTTTGGCCATCCAACCTCGAACGCGCTGGCCTGTGGGTCTGCATGAACGTCCTACTGCATCTCCTGATGCCTCCCTGCATACCCATCTCCACCAGCATCGATGCGAGCAAGCAGAAGCGTCACGTGATGCACGACTTTCCACTTCGGCAACGAGGAGATCTGCAGTTGAACCTTGCCGGTTTTGGCGCCGACGATTGTTGTGCTGCCCAACCTTGCATCTCAACTACAGCGTGGCTGTTTCTCAACGATCAGCTGTTGTAAGCCAATCTTTCACCCGCGACAATGTCTTCAAAGGCATTGTGAGATCCGACAAAGAGCCACCCAGTGCTCGATCGATGTCTCCAATAGAGTCCAAAGCGATGCATTCAGAGGCAAGTCCCAAGGCAGCTCTCAAGGCAGTTCTTTGTTCGCAGCGGATTCCTCGGGATTTCCACAATATATCCCCCTGTCCTGCAACCACAAATTTTGAGAGGTTTCCAAGATCGACTAAAGGTTATTCCTTAGCCTATGGATAAAGGACTTTTTATTTTCCTGGGGCAGTACGGCACGATGGCTATTACAAAAGATAGTCCTTCGGCTAAGGTCGATCCTCCTGGACCACTGATGATGATAATGCGTCCCGAGGAGACCGTATCGTCTTTAATGAGCGAGCTGCGGCAATCACGCCCTCGTCGACGTCGAATCACGATAGGTGGCTCAGATCGGCGCACCAACGATGAGCATGGCTCAACACTGAGTGACCATCGCGCTCCCAACTCGGTTCCACAACGACCGGGCCCAATCAGCTCGAAGCACTGTACCCCAGAGCCCGACACAGAGTTGGGTTTCACGCCACGTCAGCATATAACGGCAAAGACACAGGCCGTGAGAAGACCCTATCCTCCATCGAGCTGGAAAAGTACGTCTACCATTGAGTCTGTCACATTGGACATTGGTGGAGCATCAATCCTGGATGCACCCGAAAAGACAGCCATCCGGGGTCAATCGGCCCAGAGAGACGTCGGTCGAGGAGGCGGCAAGGACAATGTGATTTTGGAATTGTTGGTCGACACGGTCACCGCAGCTAGTGGAAGGGCGCAATCAGAGAACCGCCTTGCGGTAGACAAGCCTGCTCGAACATCGTCCGGTCGCCAATATACAATACGCTCGTCCCGTTGCGCTGAGCCGGCTGGAATGGACTTCTCTGAAGCTAGCAGCGACACATCATCACCCGCTAACGATCGGATCGTGACCGGGAAAGCTCCACTGCCTGATCCTGAAGTAGCCTATGCACAAGCCTTTCACTACACCACATGCCCTCATGTCTCACCTCCAAAGTCTCGGCCTCTAAACGTGCAGCCTGCTTTGGTTCCACATCATAAAGGTCTACTTTGGCGCCGACCTCTGGACGTGCAAGGATTACGGGTCGACCCAGGGACTGCTCCGCCAGATATCTACGTACTTGGTGGAGCTTGTTTCGATTGTGACCTCTCAGCACGTCGGCAAGCCGAGTCGGGCATTCTCGAAACGTACACTTACAAGCTCGAAAACCTTACCGTTCAGCTGAGTCTGCTGCAACATGATATTGCCGCCGAACATTCCGGGCCGTCACCAAACCGGGAGAATGGTGCCTTGACCGCGTTCACTTTGCCCTCTACGCTAGAGCTGAGCACAGAGGCAACTCAGGGTATCCTGGAGATTGAGGAGCAGCTGAGCGAGTTGGTCAAGAAGCGCGACGAGGATATCAGGCAAGTCTGGAGTGGTTTCACGGCTCGCTGGGGACCGGGGACAGTCCGGATCCAACGCGATGAGAGCAACAGCACCCCGGGTCGAGCCGAAAGCCCCTTGACGACCAGAACCTCCAGCTCGACAAACAGCTTTGGTGTTCCATCCGCTAACACAACTCCTGAAGAAGTTCCGGCGATGGCTTCCAAAATATCGAGGGGCGCGATCAAACCTGTTTCGCCAAGTCGACAAAGCAGCTTCACAGCTCGAACAAGAGCGAGCTCCATACAAGGACGGTATTCAGACGGTAGCCGCAATGTCACTGTTGAGTCGTCAGTGGATAGCATCAAGGGAAGAGGACGCATGCTGGTTGATTGGATTCGACCTGGACGCAGTGAGAGCAAGGCAGGAGGCGGAAAGCAGGCTCACAGGAGAAAAGGCAGTCGGCAAGGCAGTCAAGCTGACAATGGCGCCTAATGCAATGGAGCCCAATGGGAGATGGAGGTATCTTTTGGCAAGTAGGAGATGCATATATGCCCCGGGATACGACCCAGCATTGGATCAACAGCACAACCCGGACTGGGTAAACGATCACAGCAGAAATTGGGGGAAGTTCAGGTCTCGAGAAAAGCTTGATGTCTGATATATTCTCAAAGCGCCTATTTTGGCAGACAATTTATTGCTCATTGACGAAGACACCAGCCATGCCCATACCAGTACCAACACACATGCTCGTCACGCCGACCTTCTGCTTACGGCGCTTGAGCTCTGAAAGCAGGGTCACGACTTGCCTCGTACCGGTGGCGCCCAGAGGGTGTCCAATGGCACTGACAATTGTTAGCCAGAAGAAGAAGCAGCAGGGCAGGGGACAAGAACACTCACATAGCACCTCCCCGGACATTGACCTTGTTGATATCGAGGCCTAGTTTGTTGACGCAGTAGACATACTAGAGACTTCACGTCAGCTTCCAAGGGGAATCAGGTCTTATGTAGGACAACCTACCATCGAGGCAAAGGCCTCGTTGATCTCAAACAGATCCACGTCGTCCTTGGTCAGGCCAGTCTTTTGCAAGATCTTGGGAATGGCCAGGCTCGGTCCAATGCCCATGATCCTGGGCTCCAGCCCGACGGTCGTGCTCTTGACATACTTGCCAATGATGGGCTGGCCCAGCCGCTCGGCCGTCGAGCGCTTCATCATCAGCACGGCGGCCGCACCGTCGGTGACCTGGGACGCGTTGCCGCCCGTCGTGGTGGGACCCCATTGAGGGAAGGCCGATCGGATCTTTTGGAGACCCGCGTACGTGGTGCCCGGGCGGATGCCGTCGTCTTTGTCCACGGTGACGGTCTTGGCCTCCTTGGTCTTCGGATCGACCCATTTCGTCGTCACGGGTGTGATCTCGTCCTGTGTCCAGCCTTCGTTTTGCGCCCGCTCGGCTCGGTTGTGCGACAGCTCGGCGAACTTGTCCTGCTGCTCGCGCGTGATGTTGAAGTCGCGCGCGACGTTCTCGGACGTCCAGCCCATGGGTTGGATGTTGTCCTTGGCGACGGGATGTGAGAGGATCTTTTCGCTCATGGGGGGCGGAGCGTCGCGGTTCGTCGACATGGACTCAATCCCCACGGCGATGCCCACGTCTATCGCGTCGATGGCGATCGAAGACGCGAGCGTCTGGATGGACAGCAGGCCGGAGGAGCAGAATCGCGACACCACATTCGCGGCCGTCGAGACGGGGAATCCAGCTGCGAGGACGGCACTGCGCGCGATGAATCCCGGTGCCGGTTGGAGGACATTGCCCACGCAGACATCCTCGACGACGTTGGGGTCGATCTTGGATTTCTCCTTGATGGCTTTCAGCACGTGGATGAGGATTTCGTCCGTGGGCGTGTCCTTGAGACCGCCCTTGCCCGCCTTGGTCAGAGGCGTGCGGGTCGCGCAGGTGATGACGATGTCGTCGGGGTTCTTTTCCAGGATCTTCTTCAGCCCGGGTGCGTGTGTGGTTGTTGATGTGCTGGACAGCTGGCCGGAGAGGGCTTCGAGTCTTTGTTGGGCGCTCATCTTTCGTCACTGTGTTCGATTAGATTTCGTTGGTGGTGGTTTCGAGATGACTGTACGTTGCAAGGCGATAAAACTAACGAACCAGGCTGGGAGGTGTATATAGCGCAGATCGAGCCCGAGAATCTGGCACAGGAAGAAATGGTGAATAATATTGTAATCAATGAATCTGCTTGCACGGAGAGACTGTACCCAGTATCTGATCAGTTGAGCAGCAACCCGTGTGGGTCAAGCCCAGAGATGCCTCGGTATCTCGTCCACGCCCTTTAACTAAACTCCCTACACTGACGCTTCCGGCAGTTGTTCCGGGTGTCATTTTGCCTCCCTAGGCCACGCCTGCGTCTGCGCCCATGCCTGCGACAACGCCACCGTGACTGCCCGGGCTCACCGGCCATGGCCGCCTTTGCCGCTCTTGATTTGGCCAGAATCGCCAGGCTGAGAACAACTGGTTCGGAGGCACGGAAGAGACGGTGAGGTGATTGATGGCAGCAATCCACTGGCCCCACCTCCACATATTGGGAATTGCTCACAGCACACGACGATCCTGGGTACGAGTTAGACACTGCTCAGTATCCCGCACGTTTTGGGTAGCGCTGGGGTCGGTAAGTGTCTTGCGAGATGCCATCGACGGGTTCATGTCGTCTCTGACGCTCTTACATAAGGTTTGTCATGTCCATCCTTATATCACACACCTCCTGCGCTTACACAGTCCTAGTACGGAGTAGCCACTCGTACTCCAGATCAACCATCCTCACCAGATCGCTGCCTCACCTCGACGCTTGTGGGGCTCCACGTCTTCCCCAATTCCTCGGACCGGGACTGTTGAGCTTGGCCTGCTACCCTTAATTGAGCGCGCGAGGCGCGTCTGATTGCTATCTGAAGGTTCTGCCGAGTACTTCGTACGTGCGTAGGAAAAGTAGAGCATCAGCATCAGCATCAGCATCAGCATCAGCTCACGAACATTCACACATACACCCCGGACTAACCCCCTCGAGGCGGTTGAAAGCGGCTGCGGAATCCAGTTCCTCGCAGCTTACTGTAAGGAAGAGGCAGTCTACTCCTAGGTGGGCAGGCCGATTCCGGTTCCGTGAGCACCTGCCGATCTACTCTGCGAGGATACACCAGATCGTGGCCGAGGCTCGACACCGGACAGTGGCTGTTCAATAGGACCTCAGAGTCCATCAAGTGTTGTTTCCACCAGCCCGAGGCTCATCATATCGTAATCCTCTCCGACAGAGTACTCCACCACATTGCTGCTCAGGAGTCTGCGACAGACAACGCCAGTCCATCCTGAGAGACTGAAGTACGGGAACTGCGATGGCGACCATCGCAGCATCTACAGCCGCAGCGGCTGGCCTGCTGTACTACGCCGACCAACGCGTCCTGGGCATCAGCCGCGATCTCAAGTACTACCGCAGCGAGCAAGACTTTGCGAAACGCATGCCCGGCTTCATCAACAAGGTCGGCCCACAGTCTCCCCATCTGTATCGCATGCTGGAGCTGGCCGACCCAAATGCCGACGCACTGTACTTCGAAGGCCGGAGCTGGAACTATCGCGCCTTCAAGGCCAAGGTCGATGAGATTGCGCTGGGCCTGCATGAGAGTCTGGGCGTCAAAGACGGGGACATCGTCGCCGTGTTCATGACGAATTCTCCCGAGATGGCATTCACCATCTTGGCCCTCACGAGGCTCGGCGCGGCGCCTGCATTGATCAACAACGCTCTCCGAGACGATACGCTGCTTCACTGCGTGCGGCTGCCGAATTCGAACCTGATACTATGTACGCCGGATCTGGCTCCTCACGCCGCGTCCGCCGCGAAGTCATTAGGCGGGAGTATCAAGACGGTGAGCCTCAACGTGGGCACATACCGTCCGACGCCTGTGTCTGACGGCAGCAACAATATCATCGACTTCCCGTTTCCCGAACCGACGACATCGGCAATCCTCCCACCCACGCCGCCAAAAAGTGTTGGCTCTGTCGCAGCATTGATCTACACGTCCGGCACGACAGGGAAGCCCAAGGCCTGCAGCGTGAAGAACGGCCTCATCCTCGGCGTGTCGTGCACCTCGTCGCCGGACGCCGCCAACCCGAAGAAATATCTCCAAGGCCTGCGCATCTACTCATGCATGCCCCTGTTCCACGGCACGACTTTCTTCGCCGGCTTCTGCTACTCGATCAGCCAATCCGGGTGTTTCTGCCTCGGTCGCAAGTTCTCCGCCCGCAACTACTGGAAGGAGGTGCACGAGAGCCGCGCCACCCGCATCCTGTACGTCGGCGAGCTATGCCGCTTCCTGCTCGCGACTCCCCCTTCGCCCTACGATCGCAAGCATCACGTCATTGTCGCGGCAGGCAATGGCCTGCAAAAGGACGTGTGGGTTGACTTCCAGAAACGGTTCGCCGTGCCCGAGGTGCGCGAGTTCTACCGCTCCACCGAAGGGCTCGTCAAGTTCGACAACATCCACCGCGCGGGTGCCCCCGGTGCCGGCAAGGTGGGATATCTGGGCGTGCTGAGGAAGCACGTCCTCGACAAGGACCAACACATTATCCGATTCGACTACGATACCGAGCAACCGGTACGAGATCCCAAGACCGGGTTCTGCCAGGTCGCGTCGAAGGGTGAACCCGGCGAGGCCATCGCGCGCATCCACAACATGGCGACGTATACGGACTACCACAACAACAAGGCCGCGACGGAGCAGAAGCTGCTCCGCGACGTCTTCGAGAAGGGAGACTTGTGGCAGCGCTCCGGTGACCTGCTCGTGCAGGAGCACGACAACTGGGTCAAGTTCGTGGACCGCATCGGCGACACGTACCGCTGGATGGGCGAGAATGTCGCGGCGGGCGAAGTCCGGGGTTTCATCTCCGAGTTACCAGGCGTCAAGGACGCGGTCGTGGTGGGGAAACGACTGGGCAAGTACGACGGACAGGTGGGCACGGCACTAATCGTACTAGATTCGAACGAGGGCGACGAGAAGGAGAAGCCTGGTTCCGACCTCGGCGAAAAGGCCTTCATGGCGCGGCTGTTCAGGGATCTCCGCGCCAAGGGTGTGCCGCGGTATGCGGTGCCCCGGCTCGTGCTGGTGCGGAACGAGCTCGTCGACGTGGGCGACACGTTCAAACACGCAAAGGTTGTTGTTAAGAACATCGAGTGGGGAGCCGGGGACCCGAGCGGGAGAACGAGGAAATACTATCTCGATATGGAGAAGGAGCCTGTCTTTAGAGAACTGGACGCGAACAGCTGGACGAGGATTGAGGAGGGAAAGGCCAAGTTGTAGGACGGGACGAGAGATCGTCATTGTCTAGGGTGAACATTATAGCAGCCCGTTGTGTTCAAGCGGAGACTGTCAAAGTAGATACTGTGAATATTAGATGTTAAATGTTAGATATAGTCTTATGAGGTATTTCCTGACCGTATACAGTAGTTCGCACGTACGTCCGATGCCACGGCGTGCAGAGTACTTGTATATAAGTGTCCAGACAATCTCAGCGATTCTCCCTCTCCCTCTCCCTCTCCCTCCCCCTCTCTCTGTACACGATCTGCCGGGGTAACTACCTAATGCCATACACAATACGGAGTAGATACGAGGCTTTCAAACGTACTGCCTCTCTCTCTCTCTCTCTCTCTCTTGAAACGCTCCTATCTACTCACTACTGTATATGGCATAGGTAGTTAGGTAGTTAGACCTCTCGCTCCAGCGCCCAAGATCTAACTACTGCCCCTATGCACCGTACACCGTCACACAGTAGATAGGAATTAATTCCCGTATGTAGCCTCGTCCACAGCATCATCGGCATCATTTCTTGGCCTCACTTTGCCTCGTCGGCGCCGCATCCGTGCCTGTGCCTGTGCCATAGAACTGCTGCCTGTCCATCTGCATCTCGTCGTCGGCGACGCCGATGGTGGCGAAATACTAGCATACAGATGTTAGCTTGTGTGTGTGTGTGTGTGTGTGTGTGTGTGTGTGTGTGTGTGTGTGTGTGCGAGGGTAAAAAGGACGAAGCTGCCGCCCTCCTATGGCCCCTCCATCACATAAACGACCGCCGGAGCGTAGTACAACCGACCGTCAGAGCGTATGCAGTACATCAGTAACACTCGGATCAGACTGATCATAGCTCCAGCTTCCAAGATAAATTACTGTACGGAGAACCCAAACCGGCCCGCCGGCTGCGTAGGTAGGTAGGTAGACACGACACCGACACCAACACTGAGCCATATAGCGGCTATAGGCCGGGGCTTATAATACTGAGCCATATAGGGGGCAATAGGCTGAGGCTGAGGCTTGGTTATACTGAGTAAAGCACCGACTCACCGCCATGGCCTTCCTATTCGCCTCGGGATTCATGGGCTGGCCGGCCTCACTCATCTTGGCCAGCAGGCGGAAATAATCAATGTAAAACGCTGGCGTGTACGTGTTGAAGAACTTGGCCTCGGCGTCGTAGGGGTTGCTGAAAGTGTGCGGCGCCCTCGGCGGCACCGTCACGTAGTCGCCCTGCTGGGCGTCGACGGTCGTGCCGTTCAAGGCGTGGAATCGGAGCGTGCCTTGGGTTACGAGGAAGGTTTCGTCGTGCTACATGTTGTGAGAACGAGTCGTGCAGTGTTGGCCGGGCAGGAGAGTGGAGTGGTGTATATAGTTGCAAGTATATATCTGCCAGGAGATAGGCGGAACGGAACGGAATGCCTCACCATCTCGTGCCAATGCGGTGGGGGTCTTGAAGTTGTAATCAAGACGTTGTTAGTCTCCGGGTCAGTCTCTATCTCGGGGCGCCCCGTCTGGAAGGGGTTCGGACTAGATATGGAGATGTGTGTGGTACAGTACCGCCTCTGGGGTAGGCAGGGAGGAAGGAAGGCAGAGGCGAAGGCAGGGTAACTTTGGTCTGTAGTTGGATATGTAGATGTCCTTACCCTGAAGTATGAGGCGGGACGGTGAACTCGGCACTACAGAATGACGGCGTGGGACGTGTAAGTGTAAGTCCATGATCGATCGCCCACAGACAGAAGACCTCTTCACGTCGCGAAGACGAATCCTCTCGAGAGGGGAACTCGAGCTCAGACCCGACACCCTCGGCGGCGTTTGAGTGCCTCCTTTCGAGAGACTTACCTCCCGATGCGGTCTTCGGAACAGTTAGCATGGGATTGAACCACACGATATGATGGGATGATATATTGCTGGAAGCTCTGCGACTTCAGTTGCAGAGCAAGCGCAAGAGTTCGAACTTACTATCTGGTCCGTGTCAGCGTGCTGCTTCCCGAGCACACGCATGTCCAAGTTGTGACGCTGTACGCACCTGTCCTTGACCCGTCCTCCATGATCCGGATGGTGATGGTGCCCAGCTTGAACGTCTCGCCGGCCTTTGCGGGGACAAAGTTGATCGGCACGGTTGGCGTTTCCATGCTGGATGACACTATAATGTACGCAGTCTGTGACACGGAGTTTGGGTTTTCCCCTGCTCGCAGATTTGTGGTCGCGGGAGGAGCGCTGTCTACCACGGTAGCAGGTCGTGAGATAGGGAATTCGATCGACGTGGCATGATTGTGCGCTGCACGGACCGGCGTAAGTTATGGACCGGGTCCCCAAGGCCTCGACCACCAATAAAGGCCGATGCCGATGGAAGCGAGTCTTACACCAGCTGCAGGACCTGGACGGGATGCTGACCTGGAGAAACCAAACCGGCACGCCGCAGACGGACACGGAAAGAAAGTACTCGAGTCGACGGCGACACAGTTTGTATTGCGACGCGGTGCAATTCAATCACGGCCGTCACATTCATACTGTATCCAATGGTATGATATAGGTGGTATCCAAACAACCGGTCACACTCCCTCGTACGTCGTACTCCCAGGACTCCGTCGCGGCCGATGACTATGCGCCGTTGACTTCAACATGCCCATCCACCTCAGCATGTCCATTCACCTCGGCCTGCCCGTTCAGCTTCTCGAGCTTGCCGATGTATTGGTCAAAGATCTTCTTGATCTCCAGCGCGCTCTTCTTCGGGTATCTCTTCTGGTCGTTGTTGTAGTCGACGTATGTGACGCCAAACCGGGTCTCGTAGCCCTCGGCCCATTCGAAGTTGCTGTGGTGGCACAGAGAGTCAGCACGACGGCACGCCATCGACAAGCATGTCACTTACTCCATCAGACTCCACGCCATGTATCCGCGGCAGTCGCATCCATCCTCGGCCACGGCCTCGGCCATGCTCGTGATGTAGCTGCGGAAGTACTCGCATCGGAAGTCGTCCTCGAGGATGTCCTCCATGGACAGATCATTCTCGCCCTTGAGACTAGTGCCGTTCTCCGTCACGTAGATCTTGGGCCGGCCGTATCGGTCGCTCAGCCACTTCATCAGCTTCCGGAACCCGGGCGCGTGCGGGCGCAGCCAGGGCGACTGCGTCTCGGGCCCGATGCTGTTGCCGTACTTGTCTTCGAAGAGCACGTCCAAGTTGCCGGCCGTGTCGCACGGGTCGGCAGGGCCGTCCTTGTGCCGGATGTAGTTGGCGCAGTAGTGGTTCATGCCGTAGAAGTCGTTCGAGCCCTTGACCAACTCGCTCTCCTCGGCCGTGAACTGGGGCAGCCGGTCACCCAGTTGCTTGACCATCGATTCCGGGTAATGGCCAAAGTAGACCGGGTCGGCGAACCAGCAGATGGCGAACTCGATCTTGCGGTCGCACGCTATCCGGTCCTGTTCGTCTTCAGGATCCCACGGCTCCGTCCAATCTCCTGCACTTTGCGTTAGTCACCGTCGACGATGCAGGTGGAAGGAAACCCATTTACCGTTCAACGTGATGCCAATCTCCCCCTGGTCTCGAGGCTTGAACTCGTCTCGGTATATCTTGACGGCGTGGGCGTGTGCTATCAGGATAGAGTGGCCGACGATCCACGGCTCGGTGGAACTGTCCCCGGTCGCGCTTCTCTTGCGGTCGCTTGAACGACCAGGAGCAAAGACACCGACGTTGTAGCCGAGCACGGCGCTGCAGAACGGTTCGTTGAAGGTGATCCAGTGCTTGACCTTGGGCAGGGCCTTGAACATGACGCGCGCGTAGTTGGCGAAGTCGGCGACAAACTCGGCCTTGTTCAGGAACCCGCCGTAGCGCTTGTCGAGCTCGTCGGGAAGATCCCAGTGGAACAGAGTCACAAACGGCACGATGCCGGCGTCGACGAGGTCATCGACGAATTTGACATAGTAGTCGAGCCCGGCCCGGTTGACGGGATCACTGCGTCCGCCTTTGGGGATGACACGGGACCACGAGATGGAGAATCGATATGCCTTGGCGCCGGTCTGCTTCAGCAGGGCGATGTCTTGAGCCGTGCGGTGGTAGGAATCGCACGCCACGTCGCCGGAGCTGCCGTCGGCGATCTTGCCGGGCGTCTTGCAGAACGTGTCCCATATCGAAGGTCCTCGGCCGTCTGCTGTGGCTCCACCCTCGATCTGATAGCTAATGACTCTCCGTCAGTAGGCACTCGTGTATGTGCAGGAAATCATGTACACACGCTGCTGTCGCGAAGCCCCAGAGGAAGTCCGCCGGCAGGGCCGCCTTGGGTGCCAGGTCTTTGACCATCTTGGTAGTCAAGGGGATCGTTCTTGCTGCCGGGGCGTGGGCGGACGGGGCGACTCTGCTTGTCTGAGATATACACGGCGAGGTGTGAGCGGCGAGACGTTGCACAGGACTAGTGTGCTGGCGCCAGCGCTGAGGGTTCGACGAGCAGCACAGAAGCCGGGATGCTGGAGCCTCGCAAAAGTGCAGAGAGAAGACAGCCTCCTCGCCAGGCCGAGCAGGCCGTGTATTTGTACCATTCTCCCTCCCCCCGGGCTTGTTCCAAATGCCAAATGCCACGATTTATCCAGGTGGGATTTTCGCCCTGGAGAGTTTCGCTGATCGGTGGTCCACCCTGCTGGAGGCACATTCGAGCCCTGTACCGGATTGGTTGCGGACTGACGCTGCCCGGGCGATATCCTGCCCATCCCCCTCCCCCGTCCTCCGTGCCGTGAACCCAATCCGTCAATCATGGAGCCCTGGTCGCCTTCGCCCGCTGGGACGCCGACGTTTAGCCTAACAGCCGGTAGCCAGCGCTGCCGCCGCCGGGTGCCAGATGCCCAGCCAGACTCATCCACACGGTTGCTCTTCGGGTCCTCAGATGGGTCGAGCTCACCCGTGCTTGTGTTGTCTTGCCACCCATGACCGCTCACCAGGCAGCCCCAGGTCGAACTCTACCACACTTGGCTCTCAGGCACGAGGGAGGAACATGCTCGGGACGAGTACTGTGTATCGAGTAAGCCTGTCCCGTCGTCTGTGGCCTGCTCATTTCTCCCGGCACACCGCGTGTCGCTGGACGTGTGGTCAGCAGGCTGCTTTGACAGTCTCAACATCGGTTCCCGTCCGTGTCTGCAGGTTACCATGGCCCCCTTTTGGTGTCTCAGCAAGTATATCCTCTCAGCAAGCACGTTCACATGTCCACGCCAGATACTTCAAGCCGACGGCGTCTCGTCCGACCTGGATGGGTCGTCTTGAGCAACATGACACGATTCGAGATACGCGCGTGGCCGGGAGAATCCTGCTGATTACGACCACTGCTCGATGAGTCAATGGAGCCATGCTTCAGCATGCCGAGCAGCTAAAACACTGTCACATGAAGCCTTGCATGGGACGGGCAGGACAAGAGGCTGGAAGAGGCCACGAGTACTCCGTTACGCTATCTGATGAAATCCTTGTGCCGAAGCATTGCCTTGCCCACGTCCTGACGCAGTGTACTTTTCCTTGCCTTTCTCCGAGTCCATGCCGTCGGTCCCAAAATGTGCTGTGCAGATTCGTTATGCCGTGCTCATTCATTCCCGTAGTCCGCGATATTCCCAACTCTATGCTAAATCCCATGCTGATTGTTTCCCTGCTCCACAGGCCATATATTGATTGGTCCAGCTTCTCAATAAACGACGTATACTCGATACGACGGCAACAAGGTGCACCCCATCAGCAGCGCCATCATGGGGATATGACCTCGTCCTCGGTCTCGTCGCCGGGCTCCTTCATCCGCGAGGTTATGAACACCGCCACCAATACTGCAAGTCCACCGACGCGGAGGGTCCATCCTACACTAGTATCACCAGGCTCGTTCCGCGGTTTCTGGAGTAGCTTGAAGATAGCACTGCTGATCAACGTCGCGAGCACTTGAGGTGCGCTGAGCGCAACATTGTGGAGACCCAGAATGATGCCAGCTTGATCCTCTTCATCCTTCTCCTTGTCGTCGGCCTCGTCCACATCTTGTCCGTTGGCCATTCTCGCCCGTCGTTTCTTTCGCCTTCGCTCCTCGCGCTTCGCAATCTCTCCGGAGATCAGTGCGAACGGTGCCCACAGGGACAACGACCAGGAAATCCCCACCAGGGCGACCATGATTGACCCTCCAAAAGGCGTAGATATGAACAGTGTGCTCCACATGCACCCCGCGAAAAGAAGCTGTGCGAGGAGCCACGCTCGGCGTAGTGTCAGCCCCGGGATCTGTACCATGGTTAACCACCTCGCTGCGGTTTCTGACCGTTCACGCCGGTTCAGCCGGTCTAAGCCCGGAGTGTTATGTAACCGCGTCAGGCCCGGGGTATTGAGTGGTCTGTTGATTGACAAGCTGGTCTGGGATCGGCTGAGGGTCCGCGGGCGGTGGCCCGGCTTCCATTGGCTGGTCCCAGACCGACTCATGGGAGGTCGTTCGCCCCATGGTGTTGCGGGGGTCCTGGCACCGATGGGGGTGGTTGGTGTGATCGGCGTCATTGGCGGCGGTGGTAAACTATCTGTATCCGAATCCGAGTCTTGCGGCTTGTAGCTTGGCACTACCAAGAACGGCAGGATAATATTGGCCATGAACGATACAACCGCATAGATGAGGAGTGCCAGTGTCCCAATGCGGGTTGCTTCACCCCAAAGGCGTTCGACATCGGTATCCGACATACCAGGCTTCAGATGAGGGTTGACGTAGAGCTGACCAATCCACGTTGTGATGTAGAAGAGGAAGGGAAACCAGCCAATCCAGTGAAAGAACTGTATCTCGCAGACCTTGCGGATCTGAGGCGGCAGTCGGCGCATGGAACTGAAGACCTGTCTGAAGAATGCGAGGATTCCCCCTTCTTCGGAGTCTCTCGATGGCGGATCAAGTTGTGGATTCCGCTCTTTGATGGAAAGAATGCTGACTAAAACAGTCGAGCTCAACGCAATTGATGCGAGCACAACCAGAACCTTGAACTGCGTGTTTCCAAAAAAGTGGAAATATCGAGGCAGGTTCAGGTAGCCAAAGAGGTAGCCCAGAACGTTGCCGAGGCCATTCATTCGGGACGCCCATGCATTGGCCGATTCTTGTTGGTGGGACGGAGCATTATCTACGATAAATGCACGAATTGCTGCTTGCACTGCAAATGGTCAGACCACATTCCGGATGCGAGGGAGGACTCACCTGTATTGATGGAGAAATCCAGACACCACATCATAACCGTGGCAAGTATGATGGTCCCAACCTTGTAGCCGCCCACATACGGTGCGTCCGCGTCAAACCGTCCAACGACTCTCACGATGTCTCTTGCGTATGCGAGAATCATGGAAGCCGCAATGGTGCCCAGCGTACCGGCAAGCATGAAAGGCTTTCTCTTGCCCCAGGAGATTCTGCAGCGGTCGCTCTTGATGCCGACATACGGCTGTACGAGCACCCCAGTCAGTGGCCCAGCCAGCCACACGAACGCAAGCAGCGCCTTGCTCATGCCCAGCGAGAGCAGGTACGGAGACCCATTGGAAAGCTCGACGGACCAGACGATCTGCAGGCCGCCAATGCATACTGTGAGGAGGATGAGGTACAGAGAACTCTTGTTCTCGACACTTTCTGAGCCCTCAAGATCGGTGGCATCCGAGGATGTGTGGCCGAAATAGTCGTCTTCCGGTTGATATGGTTCCTCCGCAAGCTGGCCTTTGCCTCTCACAGTCCGTTCACCAATGTCGTCATTTCTGCGCGCGCCGCGTATAAGCGGAGAGCGCTCGTCTCTGTCGACACCCTGATCACTACGACTCATGAAGAGCCGAACTAGGAGTCCTCTCGGCTCCCGTGTCTATATTCCGTTGAAAATCCAAGGGAAGCCTAGGTGAGAATAGTAATGATCGAATAGGGGGCAGCTGGACGGATCGGATGGCAGCTTCACGATTGTCGCAGTCGGGCCATCAAACAAGCAGTTCCAAGGAGGGTATGAACAGACAGATTGGAAAATGGAAAGATGAAGGTTGTAAGTCAAGGTGACGGGTAAATAAAATGGAAATGAAACTGAGGTCAGATGCCAACGTCATGTGCTGTGGTGCCACGAAGAACCACACAAGGTTGAGAGCGGACGAGTTGGGCAGCGTTGGCAGGCCTAGGGTACCCCAGAAGCGGCAGGCCTCGTGGCCAGAACGACTTCGGTCCGACCGCCTGAATAATGTGGTGTAGGCTGGTACTTCACCGTAACCTCATTGGACACTGTCCCCATTTTGAGCACAATACAGCAAGATTTGGGAAGAGAGCCGAGCACATTCTCACAAAGGCTTCTTTACTTGGTATCATACGCTGTCGGGTTCAATATCGAGTGCTGCTGGTGGCATTGCTTGGTCTTAGGTACTTCAGCTGTACGGTGGAGCGGAGCAGCACTGCTGAATTGCCTCCAGTGACAGACTTTTGCCTATTCCCAACGGAAGAGCTGCACTTCTCAGTGGTCATCTGCGGCCAGACTTCATGCACGTCAAGCTCGTCCTAGTGGGGATGATGTCTGTCTAATGATCAACGGTCTCATCAAGGCTCGATTCCCTGTCACATCCACGATCCCGATCAGATATATCTTGTCCAACATCGTCCTGGCCCGAGCTAAGGAACATTAAGGAGCCGCGTTCCGGGCAACCACTGTCCTCCCAGCGAACGAGTACGGTTGCGTCCGCAGTCTCCAAATACCGGGGGACAACGTTTGGCCGAGGCAGGTAGACCTCAAAAGCTGCTCGAGAGAACACGCGCAAGGAGGGGGATCCTAACACAGCACAGCGATTGCCTGTAGCGAATCTGGTCAAGATGAAGCCCGTCGTATCCGCGTTCAACGCATGGAGCTGGTGAGTTCCACCTCGTCGAGATTGGCGTGCCCTCGCTGACGCTTCGATAGCACGGTACTGTCAGTCTTTGCGATTGTCATCCTCTCCATCATTGGGAGCCTCTTCGCGGTATGAGACCCGCCCTACACATGAACATGATTACGAGGTGGACAGGAAGCTAACATCAGACGCACAGAGGAATCACCACATAATGATGGGAATGGAGGAGGATCCTGAAGATAACGCAGCAGTCGCAGCCTCGATATTCATAGCTGTTGCGGTTTATGCGGTGAGTTGGATCGCCTAGATGAGCTCATCTTCACACTAACTGAGGGCAGGGTTTTCTTGCTTTTTGCGGTTTCCAAGCTTGGTTGCACGTCCGGGCGAGTCGACGGGGCGCTATCTCACTGTAGCCTCGACGGACTGCCTACAATGGAAGATAAACTAGCAACAAACAGGCATCCCCATGGCGTTGCAGATTTAAAAATCGAGTGGTCAAAGGCGTTGCACCAGACAGAGAGACACCGAGGCATAAGGATGGTGGTGCTGATGTTTACTGTGTACCGGAAGCGCAGGCATGTAGAATGTTGTCACATACTTCATTCGAGGTATCAAAGAATACAATCAACTGTCGCCTGTGCGAAACTTGACCTGCTCCGCATAACGACTGATTCCGCCCCGCCACACCTCACAGAAGGTCTCTGCTCACAAACTGTGCATGCAACGACTTACCCAGCATCGCTGGACTCCGTTCCACGACCACACCAGCGGACTCCAATGCAGAAATCTTGGACTCTGCACCACCCTTGCCACCGCTGACGATGGCACCAGCATGGCCCATACGTCTTCCTGGAGGAGCACTGATGCCTGCAATAAAGCTCACTGCGGGCTTGTTCTTCTTGTTCTCGCTCTTCAAGAACTCGGCAGCGTCCTCTTCGGCGCTACCTCCGATCTCGCCAATCATAATGATTCCCTCGGTTTCGTCGTCTTGCATGAACACATTCAGGCAGTCAATGAAATTGGTGCCGCTGAAGGGGTCACCGCCGATACCCACGACCAAAGACTGGCCAAGACCTGCTTGTGTTGTTTGGTTGACAGCTTCGTATGTCAAGGTGCCTGATCTCGAAACAATGCCGACTCGTCCTCGCTTGTGAATAAATCCAGGCATGATGCCAATCTTGCATTGTCCCGGGGCGATGATACCCTGTTATAGTCACGAGCAGAGCAGGTCAGTAAGCTGCGTCATTCAACCAGACGAGAAGTCCTCAGTAGACAATTGGGTGCTTACAGGACAGTTGGGCCCGACGAGTCGTGTCTTGCTTTGTGTCTTCAGTGCGTCGGTGACTCTGAGCATGTCGTGTTGGGGGATGCCTTCAGTAATGCAGACCACAAGGGGTATCTCGGCTTCCATCGCTTCCATGATACCGGCTGCGGCTAACGGAGGGGGAACGAAGATCACGCTGGCTGTGGCGCCAGTTTCCTTCACGCCATCTGAAACATTCTTGAAGACGGGAAGATTGAGGTGCTGAGAGCCAGCCTCTGTACACAGTCAGTATCCCAGCTCAACCTCGATAGGCATGTGATGAGACTCGCTCTTTGGATTTGTTCCTCCCACAACTTTCGTGCCGTATTCGATCGCTTGCTGAGCATGGAATGTGCCCTGTTTGCCCGTGAAGCCCTGGAAGAGGACTTTCGTGTCCGCATTGATTCTCAGGTTGTTCCGAGTCTGGGCGTAGGGTGAGGCCGACGACACTGTGGCATAGCTCCGCGAGGAGGCAGTTCGCAGCGCCCGGGGAGCGCAGGTCTTGAGAGCTTGCATCTCAGCAAGACCTTTCGGCAAGACAGTCTCAAATAGAGGGGAGAGCTACTGAATGCCCGTATAGTCAAGCAAGCCGACGTGGAAGTTGTCAATTGACTGCTCTCCCCAGTTCATCTTCGGGCTGCGCCATGGAACCTGAAGCTCGGTAGGAGTTAGCGAGCTACGGTCGTGCATATATACCGCAAAGTGCAGTTCGTATATTGACTCGAAATTTAGATGCTAGAAATCCTTCATGTCCTCCTAGATATACTCTGTTGCTGCTACCTTACCAATGTTTCATATTAATCTCCATATTCCCCGGTGGCCCTGAATATATAGCTTAACAGCTACGCCTCGCGATGGCGATCGAAACAGTGATCCGCACCAAAGTCAAGCTGGGCAAGAATGAAAAACTGCCCCCGGAAAATGTTCGCTTCATGCAAGCCTGTAATGACATTGCACGTGTCCTCGTGCAAGAGTACGAGGCAAGCATTGATGAAGCGAAACCAAAGAAAGATGTCAACCTCAACCGACTGCGAGGTGACGTTGCGAAGAAGCATCGGTTGAGCACTCAACCACCTCTGACAGCGATCCTTGCTGCAGTGCCGCCAGAGTACAAGAAGCACCTTATGCCGAAACTGATCGCGAAACCGGTAAGAACAGCCTCAGGTATTGCGGTGGTTGCTGTCATGTCGAAGCCTCACAGATGCCCCCACATTGCTTGGACGGGTCATGCTTGTGTCTACTGTCCCGGCGGTCCAGACTCCGACTTTGAGTATTCGACGCAATCTTACACAGGATATGAACCGACCTCGATGCGGGCCATTCGCGCCCGTTATGATCCCTTCGAACAGGCCCGTGGGAGAGTTGACCAAATCAAGTCGCTTGGCCACAGTGTCGACAAGGTCGAGTTCATCATTATGGGAGGTACTTTCATGTCGCTACCCAAGGACTATCGTGACAACTTTGTGGCTCAGTTGCACAACGCGCTCTCGGGGTATCAAACCGAGAATGTGGACGAAGCAGTCATGGCCGGAGAGATGTCGAGCATCAAGTGCGTTGGCATCACCATTGAGACGAGGCCTGATTTTGGACAAATTGACCATCTTTCGGACATGCTACGATACGGCTGCACGCGCTTGGAGCTGGGCGTACAGTCTCTCTATGAGGACGTCGCTCGGGACACCAACAGAGGGCATACGGTCGCAGCAGTTGTCGAAGCCTTCAAATTCTGCAAAGACGCTGGCTTCAAGGTTGTCTCGCATATGATGCCTGACCTGCCCAACGTAGGTATGGAGCGAGACATCTTTCAGTTTCAGGAATATTTCGAAAACCCAGATTTCCGAACAGATGGGCTGAAGATATATCCCACCCTTGTCATTCGAGGCACTGGCCTCTATGAACTTTGGCGCACCGGGCGTTTCAAGAACTATACGCCCAACGCTCTTGTGGATCTGGTCGCGAGGATATTAGCCCTGGTGCCGCCTTGGACGAGGATATACCGCGTTCAACGCGATATCCCCATGCCGTTGGTGACGTCGGGTGTCGAGAATGGAAATCTCCGAGAGCTGGCCCTGTCACGAATGAAGGACTTTGGTACAACTTGTCGTGATGTGCGGACCCGAGAGGTTGGCATCAACGAGGTCAAACACAAGATTCGGCCGTCTCAGGTTGAGCTTGTCAGACGAGATTACATGGCCAACGGTGGCTGGGAGACATTCCTTGCTTATGAGGATCCCAAGCAAGACATTCTCATCGGCTTGCTTCGGCTGCGAAAGTGTTCGGAGACACATACCTTCCGACCGGAACTTACGGGTCAGCCAACGAGCATCGTTCGAGAGCTTCACGTCTATGGCCTAGCTGTGCCCATCCATGGGCGAGAAAAGAGCAAATTCCAGCATCAAGGTTACGGTACTCTCTTGATGAAGGAAGCAGAGAAAATTGCTCGGGATGAGCATGGAAGTGAAAAGCTGAGTGTCATCAGTGGAGTCGGTGTGAGAAGCTACTACGAGCGCCTTGGCTATACCCTCGATGGCCCATACATGAGCAAGATGCTCGACCTTGACGACGATGATGCGGAAGATTGAACGTCGAGAAGCAACATATCGATATCGACATTCTGTGCCCAATGAAAACGGACCACACCCCTGCGAGACTCCAGGCCGACTGTGAATACATGCCACACGAACACTAGCCTTCCCGGAACCTTAACCTCGCGCCGCCGTGCACGCAAGTATTCCAACGCGCCCCAGCACAGTCCTGCTGCAAGCCGTTAAGCAGCGGACGTCACAGCTCCGAGCCCTCAACTAGACAGACTTTGAAGAAGAAGCGAGTTCGCGCGGTGGGTTCAAAGAACCAAGTACAAGGTCCCCGCGGAGGATGCAGTCCAAGGTAGAAGAAGAGCACTGATAGCCAGGCTGGATATAGAGCGCGACCGTCGTCCTGAGTCTTACAGCCGCTGGTGGAATCTTCATGGCTTCCTGACTGGGGCGTCAGTGGCAGGCAGGGCGAGGCTCCGCGGCCCCACAGACACCGAGAACAGAGACTCTGAGTGGCGGGCGATAACGATAAGCGTGGCGCGAATCGCCTCCAACAAATCACGTCATTGCAGTTTTTTTCGCGGATTCATTTGCGCGCAGTGTGAATAGTTGATCTATCTCCGAGCACAGCTGCTTGCTGCCCACCATGTGAGGCGACGTTCCTCAGGAATAAGTTATCTTTCTCTCCTTCGTATCTCTTGTCTTGCATAATTATGGCGTAGGGCGTCATTCTTACCGTCCCCGGCTCAACAGCGATTCTCCTGGCAACCGTCCCCCGTTCCTTGTACACGTCCAGTGGTCATGGTTGCTCCTGCTTTGCTGACCGCGCAGAACTGCGTTGACCAGATACATCTCGTTCTTGGTTCAGGGCCCCTAGCGGCGTCGCGATGCGTCAAGTCACTCGAGGTTGGCGCCCGGCCAGTCGTCGTGTTTCCCGAGTCCGAAGACGTTCATTTCACTCTCGCCGCCGCAGTGGAACAGGGTCGAGTGCAGTGGCTACAGAGGGAGTTTCAACAGGAAGATCTCAAGAGATTAGGCAGAGAAGAAGTAGATGGATACGTTGATGCTGTGTTTGTCACTCTACCGGCAAAAGACCCTCGAAGCGTTGAAATATCCAGTCTCTGCAAACGACTGAGAATACCTGTCAACGTGGTAGATGCTCCACACCTGTGCACGTTCACACTCCTGTCAACCTACTCCGACGGTCCCCTTCAGATTGGTATCACTACATCGGGCAATGGCTGCAAGTTGTCATCTCGCATTCGGCGTGAGATTGCGGCGGCTCTGCCACCGAAATTTGGTGCTGCTGTGGAGAGGCTGGGTACTGTACGGAGACAGATATGGCACGAGGATTACAAATCTCAGACGGCGTGCAATGGGAACACTCCGGATGGAGAAGCGGAGGACGAGGAGGCTGCCGCTCAGAAGCATACCTTCAACTCACTGGTGAAGGAGGACGACCGCGATCCGGCTGTTTTGCGAACTCGCCGCATGAGGTGGCTCTCACAGATATGCGAGTACTGGCCTCTCGGTCGGCTTGCAGCAATCACAGACGCTGACGTAGCGGCAATATTGCAAGCGTACCGAACCACAGCTCAAACGCCCGCTCCCGGGTCCGATGAGATATCGACACTGCTTCCTATACTACCTCCTCGTAGAGGCACGATAACTCTGGCTGGGTCGGGGCCAGGTCATCCGTCACTCCTGACGATCGCGACCAAAACAGCTATAGAAACCGCCCATTTCATCTTGGCTGACAAGCTTGTCCCCGCCGAGGTTTTGGAGCTCATTCCGCGACGGACTCCTGTTCACATCGCTCGCAAATTCCCCGGCAACGCAGACGCGGCACAGGACGAGATGCATGAATTAGCTTTGGAGGCAATGCAACAAGGCAAAAATGTTCTACGCTTGAAGCAGGGTGACCCATACCTTTATGGCCGAGGCGCTGAAGAAGTGACTTTCTTCCGAGAGCGAGGGTATGATGTCAAGGTGATACCTGGCATTACCAGTGCTCTTTCAGCAGCGATGTTTGCCGACATCCCCGTTACCCATCGCGCTGTTGCTGATCAAGTTGTTGTGTGTACTGGGACTGGGCGGAAAGGGGCTGCGCCTGAGCCGCCGTCTTATCGAAAGAGTAAGACGGTTGTGTTTCTCATGGCGCTACATAGACTGGACAGTCTGGTCAAGAGTCTGACCGAAGAGCAAGATCACGAGGCTCCGAGACGTGCTTTGTGGCCATCCAACACACCTTGCGCAGTCATCGAAAGAGCAAGTTGTCCAGACCAAAGAGTGATCCGGTCTACCCTGCAACATGTCTGTCAAGCGGTGGAAGCAGAAGGTTCAAGACCACCAGGCCTTCTGGTTGTCGGCCATTCGTGCGAAGTACTACACAAGCTTGGCGATGGGAAGAGCTGGTCGGTGGAAGAAGGGTTCCGAGGACTGGATGCCGCCGGATCGTCTCCTTCGGAGTTTGATGTTCTGAAAGAACTGGAAGCGTCACCCACCAAAGACGTCAACGGACAGCCTGAGGTGACCGGAGGGTCGCACCCTCCTTTGCTGCATCCTGTAATAGCACATCCTGGTATAACTGCTGAATAGAAGTGCATTGGATCTCTACCATGACAAGGTCCCAGACTGGCGTGTGCGTTCGACTCCCAGAGCGTCCTGGCTGTCCTGAGCATGGCGCCTGTCTGATGCTATACTTCAGATCCTTAGCTGTGTGGCCTTGGAGAAATCCAATGTCGCTCGTGACTGTCACCAACTCTTGATTGTACATTCACCTGCCTTCAGACATTGTATCAACACACATCGTCACTTGCTTTCAGACTCTACATCACCACACATGGTAGTTCGGCCTGTCTATCGCGCCTCTTAGATCCGCTGAGCACGTCGCTTGTTCGTATGTGCGACGTCCCATCTCGGATCCGCTGGCTGCACGTCTCTAGTGTAGCTAGTAAGTAGTAGTTTCTACAGATATCGCCAAGCATATGGACGGGAAAACATGGATGGCGGTCGACGTGGAAATGAGCAGAGATCCAAATTGGCCGAAGTTCGCCCCTTAGGATTTGCTTCTCACTTCCACCCTCGACCGCCATTCGCCTTTCACAGGTTGAATCACTACTGAAACTACTACGAGCTTGTGTAACGACCAGGTTGGTATAGCTTTCGAGATTGCCTCTCCAGATCAAGCACCCGATCTACATCATCGCCCGGTTGACCTCTAGATACACCGAACGTTGTCCCAGCTTGAACCGAAGAATGGGCCAGCCATCTCGATGAGTCGACCGCGTTCCACGTACAAATACAGCCATCAGAAACCATACCCGGCTCCCGGTGTACTGCGTAGTGCTTAACCACCCGGTAGCGGATCGAGGGGTCCCACAGGAACAAGGTTCGGAAGCTGTACGATCGTCCACGCGACAAACCATGCCGACAACTCCTATGGCTGGGATGCCAGGCGTTACGCCCTACAGCTCCGGTGTAGTCCACTCTGGACCCGTGGACGTGGGACAGGCCATCAACCTCGACAACATTCGAGGCAAGACAATTGTCATTGTGAGTCTCTGGACTTTTACTCCTTCTCCTGAACGAAGCTCCGTCAACGGCGAGGGGCCCAGTCTCACTCTAAAAGGGGAAAACATATGGCAGCAATCTATCTTCACTCCTCCGCCATAACTCTCGCGCCCCGATCCCAGAACCCAATAAATTACTGACCGCACGTACCCCCTCCCCTCTAGACCGGCGGCGCGTCCGGGTTCGGCGCAGCATGTTCGCGGCACTGGGCCTCGCACGGCGCCAACATCATCCTCGGGGACGTCAACCACCAGCAAGGCACGGAACTGGTCTCCCAGCTGAGACAGACGACCGAGAACCCACACCACCACTTCATCCCTCTCGACGTGACGTCGTGGTCCTCGCAGGTGCGTTTCTTCCGCGAAGCCACGCGCCTCTCCCCCCACGGCGGCATCGACACCGTCATGGCCAACGCGGGCATCGCCGACGCCGAGGAACAGAGACTCTTCGAGCAACAAGTACCGGACTATTCGCGGCTTGACGGGCCCGCGCCGCCGCCGAGACTGCGCACGTACGAGACGAATCTCACGGGCGTGCTGTACACCGCGCACCTGGCTCTGTCGTACCTGTCGCGCAATCCGGGCAGTCAGAAGTGCAAGTGCAGCAGCAGCAGCAGCACCACCACCACCACCACCACCATGACGGGCCAGCAAGGCGCCGCCGCACCGAGAGACCGGCATTTACTGCTCGTGGCCAGCGTCGCGGGTCTGGCAGGCCTGCCGGGCCAGCCGCTGTACACAGCCGCCAAGCACGGGGTTGTAGGCCTGTTCCGGAGCCTGAGGATCACGAGCCCCATCACGTTGGGAGTCCGCGTGAACATGATCAATCCATGTACGTTTGCCCTGTTCCAAGAAAGAGAGAGAGAGAGCGAGACAGAGAGGTCTATGCAATGCTGGCTATGCTTGCAATACTTGCTAATTAGACTAAACGCCCCCCCCCAGACTTCGTCGACACGCCCATCCTCGGCCCGCTGGGCGCGTTCGTCCTCGCCGGTGGCGCGATGGCGCGTCTCGAGGCCGTCGTGGAGGCGAGCACGCGCCTCGTCGCGGACCACGGCATCATCGGCCGGGGCCTGATCATCGCGAGCAAGACATCCAAGGAACATGCCAAGGCCGTCGGGCTGGAACCGCAGACCGAGGATTACGACCAGGAGATCTGGGACTGCTATGCCGACGACTTCGAGCAGAGCGATCTGTTCACCCGGCGCATCGTCGCCGTCACGAACCTGGTCACGAGCGCGAGGGGCTCGATTGGCATCTGGGTCGACATTGGGTCGAATTTGTCGAGGAGGTTCTGGAGGGCGTTAGGGTATTAGAGTCAGGGTCAGTCGTTCGATAATCGCGCTGAAGCGTGGCGTCCTGGATGTGTGCCCCTTGAGCCGAGTGGGCTGTGAACCAACATCATAAAAGTCAGGGATATAGAGGATGGCACAGCGCAAATTGAATTTGGAGTATGTACAGTATATGAGAAAACCCACCAGCTGCTACACTCCTGGTAGCGGTAGATCAAGTCCACTCTGGATTCCGGAAAGTATGCATGCATAGACAAACGTACTCCGTCCACACCGGTTGAATCTGTGCTGATACAAGTACGGATGCTGCGGTCCGCTGGTGATGCACACATTCAGCCGTCTGGACTCATGCAATTGTTCTTGCAGCGCAAAACAAGCAACATCTTTGCGCATAGGTACTTTACAACAGACCTTCTGAGATCTGACCTTCCCGTGCTCTCACGGATAAACCTAACATACCCAGATGGCGGTGAGCAAGACATATGTACATATATATGTACGGGAGCCAGGTCTTGCGGCTCGTTCCACCGGATCTCTGTTTCGCAGCGCCCCCTGCCACACGGGGATGCACACCACACGCTGATAGCGATGGCCGATCTGCGATGCGGTATACGAAGCGGCCCGCGGCGGGCAGGCTCGGAGCATACGTGGCAGTTCCTTGTAAGGCAGGAACAACAAAGGTTCTAGGGTTCCAAGGTCTTTACAAACTAAAGCCAATATTGTACCGATTATCGTCGATGAGACGGCCATACCTGCGGTTTGATCAGTCAGCATGACGCAGGCACAACAGTACCAATGGAACAGGATAACTCACTCCAACAACAACCTGAAATACCACACCTCGAGATCGTCGTTCCGGAGAACCTTCTGTGCCCACTCCCTGCCTTGATTGGCGATCTTCTTCCCCTCCACCTTGCCACTCTCCTCTTGGTCAAAGTACCTCACCGACTCGGCGTATTCGTCACCGACCAGACCCAGCGGGACGTAATGAACCCACGCTCTAAGCCATTCATCGTGCCACTCGCGGAACAGGGCCAATTTGTACACGAGACTCTTGCTCAACAGCCACGCGTAATACCGTCCCGAGAAAGCATTGCCGTCAATATCCAACAGATACCGGGACGCGAGCGCATCGAACATGTTGACCGGCTCCACCGTGCCAAAGTATTCGCGCTGAGCATCGCAGTCCCCCGGATCACATTGCCCAATGTAGGTGAACTTGACGTCAAAGTAACTGGCCATATCGGCCATCGAGACGGTCTTCTCGCGCCAAAGACTTTCCTCGGCCGTGGAATTGTTGTCCAACTCGAGAATCTGGGCCGTGTTAAGGGGCTGGATCTTGGTCAGAAATCGCTGCCGGTGTTGCCTCCTCCATCCGCCATTCCGAGAGAAGCCGCCAGTTGTGCTGCCTCGCCAGTACATCGTCGGGTTCTTCTCTTCCCAGGGCATGTCCCGTTCGGGCTCATATTTCACTCTCCCCATAAAGTACCACGGACTTGGATATAGTATATCCTGGAACGAGGAGATCTTGCTTTGCGAGAAGATGGGGAACAAGTCGTGCGTGACATCGAATGCGTTGGGCCGATCGAAGAATCCAAAGCTCTTCTCCAGACTGGGGGAATTGCAGATGTCGCTGAACGCGGTCGCGTTACGGACGAACCCGAGCGGCAAGCCGCTGTAGGCGGTGGTATTATCAGTGCATTTATCATTGAGACAGCTCCGCGCCGCGCTGTCTGGAGCGCAAGATATACGCGAATTGGACCATGTCGGTTGGTGGGCGAAGCGGTTGAAGCGCGTGGTTTTGTATTCTTTGATGCGAATACCTTCGCCCAAGTCGTCGGCGCGTGGGGACCAGCCGTTCGCCAGGGATGGCGCGTTGTACGCCTTGGGCATGTTTGTGTTCTGAGCCACCTCGACGTGGTGCTGGAGATCATCGTGTTGCATGACGACACGGGGTTCGTCGTGGATGTTAAATGCCAAATCCATGTCTGGCAGGTATTTGATGAAGTCTCCCAGCATGATGGGTGTAGCTTCTCTTTGCCAGGCGTACATATCGCCCCCTCCTTCAATCTTGGTGACTTTGCCATTGCGAATCATCACCGCGATCAAGGCATTGTCAAATCCAATAGCCTCTCGTGTTCTCTCGCGGATCACTTTCGGGTCCAGCGCCCAAAAGGGCAGTAACTGATGGTATATCGTGTCATATTCGTCGATGAGTTCGACACCCCGTTTCTTTGCGAAATTGTACCATTTGTCAAAGTGAGGCGGCGGGGGTAATTTATACCGCCTGCGGTACTCGGCAACCGCATCATTCAGCGACCGCGACTGGCGCGCCCGGAGCGTCTGGAAGTCGCTTTCGGCTTGCGATACTAGCTGGTGGATGGGATGAAGCAGGGAACTTGCCGGGAGGACCGGCGCATTCTCCTCGTGGGCATGGTGATCTTGTAGTATCGACGACGCAGACTGCTCGAGCGACTGGATCTGCTCAGGACTTCGCAGGAGGAAGAGGGTACACGCAGCCGTGGACAGCAGGACGATGAGCGCCAGAAACTTGCGCGACCTTAGCATGCCTTCTCGGACATGGCTCGACTGCCAATGGGGACTTGCTTTCGGATTCATGCACAGCCTTGAAGGTTGTTGTGGTGTCGCCCACCTGGTCGACTCGAAAGGACCATCTGATAATTGATGCAGGTGTCAAAAGGCAGCCGAAAGGAGAAATTACCCCGGCTTACATAATGTACGGCGAACCAAGTCGTCTGGCCTGCTAGATGTCTACGGTGCCGCAGATGCAAGACTAGCGCACAAGACGCCACGACACCCGTCCGTCCACTCTCAAGACTACCACCAGAGTGTATGTCACAGCAGGATCCGCTCGAGCCGTCGAGGACTTTGAGTCGTCGCACTATGGGTCTGTTTATTCAGTGCTCTTTTATTTCATCTATCTAACGCGGTTGCTTCGGAGGTCCAAGAATGATGAGGCCTTGCAATCTCCCTCATCCATCGTGGCGCTTGATTTGGTGCCATCTACCGGGTCTTCTTACAATGCCATTGCACCCAGTGGTATCCCATATGCTGTCCTGCGCTGCGGAGCCAGAGTTTAATGAATATCACCTCCCTCCCTTCTCCTGCCGAAGATCGGGAACACCCATTGAGAGCTCCTCCTCTCCAGCTCATGTCCTGCGTCGTTACAGTCCTGGGGCGCAAGGTGCTGCGCAAGATTGACAAGCGCTGGCGAAGCATCCTCCCTGTTCTCATCAACGTTCTCGTCAACCAGGTGGAAGTCACTCTCAGGCGACAGCTCCCTCTCGGTCACTTCAACCGGTCTTGCCTCCTGACGGACGCACTACTGTCCGGTATCCATCCTCTCGCCTTGCTGTTGGGCATACACATTCGTCGTGCCGCCAGCGGCAACAGTGGCAAAATACCGTACATCAACATCTTCGTCATGCTGCAATTTCTCCAGATTCGACATGATTTGACCATCAACCAATTCCTGTCCTCTAGGACTGGGTTGTGCTGTGGAGTTGGGATTCTGTTCGAGCTGCTGCAAGGTACCTTCGGCTGGCAAGCGGCGGAGCGTGTTGATGAGAACGGCGTACGATTTGGCCACGTTGAACCGAATGTTTGGGATCGGATCAGAGACGAGGCGGTCCATCATTGGGAGAACGCTGTCAGCGATGATATCGAGAGTAATGACAGGCGCGAGGATCTAGATGGAAAATGTTAGCGCGCAATTCGCAAGCTGAAAGGGTTTCGCGCTTACCGTGATGGCAAAACAAGTCGTCATGCGGTACAAATAATTCTGCTGCTGACTCATTGCTGTGACCTTAGGAATGATGGAGCGATTTGCCCATTCGACGCCGAACACCTCGGTGAGCTTCTTCAAGTTCTGGGTTGCCGCGTCTCTAATTGAGAAGACTGTATCGCCCAACCAGCCCATGCACAATGAACTTAGCTGTTCGTCAAAGAATTTCATGCCGAGCTGTTTGGCCAGGAGGGGGATGTATTCGATGATTGCTAGGCGAACGCGCCATTGTTTGTCTTCCGCCAGTTGGACGATGGCTGGAAGGAGCGATTGAGAGAGTAGGTCAATGCCGATGACATTGTTGACTAGTTCGAGTTTGGAGATGATGTGCAGTCTGACATCGGGGAACTCATCCTTGAGCATCTGCAGGAACATCGGAAGCAGATGTGAGATGGTTTCTTCCTTGCCGAGAATGGGAGCCAGTCCACTGAGTTGAGTTCCCAGAGCAGCCCGGACGTGCTGGTTCGGGTCTGAGACAAGGTCTTCGATGCTGGTCATGATCTCGTTGAGAAGGGTTTCGCGGTCAAGCAGGCCGCAGAAGCCCGGGATCTGGCTGGCGATTGCTGTTCTCACTTCTGCTTCGCTGTCCTTGAGTAACTTGACAAAGGCCGGAACCAGGTCTCGAGTGACCACTTCTTCGTTCACGGCTTTCGCAATCTTCTCGAATTTCTCGGCCACCATGTAACGGACTCTCCAGCTCTTGTCTTCGAATAGACTTCTCAGCGCAGTCAGTAGCACACCATGGCTGGGCTGCTGCTCCTTGGGAATGACTTCCGCGATCGAGATAAGGACTTCGACGGTAAGCAATCGGACACTGTCTTGATCGTCACTGGCCAAATGTTGGAACAAGGGGATCATCTCATCAATGACGATAGAGACTGGAACCTCCTTGACGAATTTTGCCAGGTTGTTCGCGGCTTGTCGTCGAACCATGGGGGTCTCATCGTGGACGAGATGGCCGAACTGAGTCCGAAGGCCTTGCTGTGATGCTTGGGAGGCCTTTTTGTAGGGAGCAACGTATAGACCAGTCGCGGATATCTTGGATGTGAACCAGTCGGCTTTCGACAGGCGGATAGTAAGGGGGATGAAGTATTCTTCCACTTGTCGCTCAGCGAGCTCGACGCAGATCTTGTTGAGAGACTCGACGGCCTAAAAGTGTCAGACTCATCTCCCGTGGTTTCTGAACGTCTTACATACCTTGTCTCGTACCAAAGGCTCC